TATACAGTATGCTTATCTAAGCAGCAGAACATAAATCTTTTGCTATAATCATATATGTCCCATTACAACTTATGATGACTCTCTACCTTACACATACTCATGTACACAAACCACATACCTGAAAAGACACTGAAAATTTTATCATCCACAGAAAAAAACCTTTGTTTCTGTCTATAAGAAAGTCATACCTGAAACAGATGTCAGTGGATCTTCTTCAACAGAAGCTGCATGTGATTTTGCTAAAGGAAATAAAAAGAGTGCACACTTGGCCCTTTAAACAGGACTGTAAAAAGAAACATTTGGTCTCTTAATTTTACACAGCTGTTGACAAATAAACAGTCAACATTTTGGGAGGAAGAAAAGCAAGGAAAATTTGATAAGGAAAAAAACATCAGAGATTGCTAAAACAAAAGGCTTTATTCCTTCTTCACTGTGTATTAACTTTCAGCCTGCCAAAATTACCTTAGAAGTCACCTCAGCAAAAGATCCCAAGGACCAGCCACAGTTACAAGAACAATTACTAAGATAATGAACATTATCTTATATCATAATGTAATGAATAATAATATTTATTTAAACAGTTTATTGTTATATAGGGAACATCTTAATGTGTAGGGAAAGCAAATTCTGAAACAGTGTTTATTGATAACTACAATGAAATCCATTTTAGGCAATACATTCCAAGAAACATAAATGAGGATAAATGCAAAAGGTTTCAAACTGGTCATTCTCATCTGATCATCACATGATGAGTAATGCATAAAAGCCTGAGGACTGAATTTTTTTAAGAAGTTTCAAGAACTTTCAAATATCCCGGAGGTTTAACAATTGAATTACTTGACCACAGAAAACCCTTTAAAATCATTAACAACAGGGCACCATATTATTTGTGCTGTTAGTAGTCACTGTGACTATCAGCAGTCACTGAGCTTGAATCCTTGCCTCCTAAAAGACACTAAAAATAGGACTCAATATAATTCAGGGAAGGGTATAAATCATACTGTCTTCCTTAAAGGAGCAATTTCATTTAGCTGAATGTAAAGATTGTTATTCCCACATAAATAACAACATACTTGTGGCTTAATCCCAGCCAGCAACTCAGTACCACACAGCCACTCCCTGTCCACCTCCCTGCCCCAAGTGGGGAGGGAAAATCAGAGAGGAACAGTAAACCTCATAGATAGAGATAAGAAAAGCTTAATAACTGAAACAAACAAAAAAAAAATAGGATAATAATACTAACTGCAACATAAAGGGAAGAGGGAGAGAGAATTAAAACCCAAAAGAAACAAGTGATGCACAGTACAGCTGCTCACTGAGCAATGCCCAGCCCTTTTCCCAGCAGGAACTGGCAGCTCCCAGCCAACACTCCCCAGTTTATGTACTGGACATGATGTTCTGTTCTGGAATCTCCCTTTGGCCAGTTTGGGTCAGCTCTCCTGGACATGATCCCCTTCACTGGCAGAGCATGGGTCACTCAAGTCCATGTTTTTGGGTAAGCACTGCTGAGCAACATCCAAAACATCAGCGTGTTACCAGCATTATCCTCATCCTAAACACAAAACACAGCATAACAAGTACAAGGAAAAAAATTAACTCTATTCCAGCTGAAACCAGGGCAATACTAAAGGGGAAAACAAAAGCACGCAGCACAAAATTCTCCTCCACTATCTTTTATTTATACCCCTTTACCTTCCTCAATGTTTCATGGCTGGTCAATTAACTCAATTATCTAATTTCTGTAATGTTAACAAATAAATGTATTTAAGGTTTTGCAGCTGCATTCTGACAAGTAAAATTGTGAAAATATTTAATGACCCTATACAAACTCTTGCCTTAACTAAAGTTGAATTCTGATAGCACCATCTCAAAAACTTAATTTAGTAAATTACCACATAGTGGAGAAAATTAGGAAAAGTCTAGGAGTTTCCCCCTGTGGATAGCAACTTCAATCAACACCCACTGTCCATCACACAACTGGTACTTGTCATACTGAAAGGGCCCAATCACAGGCTCACTTATGATCCTATTGATGCACTTTATCACTTGTACACAATTATCACTCATCAGCCTCACACCAGTTTAAAAACACTTTCAGTGAGTACTGCTGTCAAAGCCAGCTCCCTCTACAAACACAGAGAGCATTTCTGATCTCACTTGTGAGCTGCAGCCTGCCATCTCCAGCTGCCAGAACACACTGTGGGGGAATAGCACAAACAAGGCGAGGAAGAACAAACTCCACGAGGAAGGCACTGTGCGTACTCTCTTCTCAAAAAGCACCAAGGTGGATCAAAAATCCAAGTCTGGCTTACAGCCCAGCCCAAACAGCTGCATCAGCACAACCACAACAGCAAGCTGCAGGGTACTGAGAAGTGTATGTTCCGCTCACACTGCTTCAGGAAACAACAAACTTCTGCACAGGCAGTTCCTACTCAACTGACATACGGTTAATCCGCGTGTAAACACATGGCTGTAGGAAATAAAATTATCTTTCTAAACAACATCCTGCTTTTAGAGTGTGCCTCTGGTATTGCCAGTTGTTGTGGATAAATTCCTAATAGCAGGATGCAAAGACTAGCCAAAGTTGTCACTATTACTCCCCCAGCTACCAGGACAACTTTCCTGGTGAACCATTGCAGCCCAGTGTATTAGAACAACTCAAAGTTAGAGCAGGCTACCTGAATCAGCTGGACTGAAAATTACAATGACTCAGAGGCTGATTCATAAGCAATGTCCTTGACTCAGAGTAACAGACTGGAGACAGCACCAGCATCAACGTTTTAACATTAATCCACTGCCACGTGCCTCTCAAGACTGCCAGTAAGGCAGGTGTAGTATTATAAACCTTGCACCACCACAGCTGAAGTGCAGTGCAACAGCAGAGAGAGGCACTGGAGAAACTCAACACCCGGGTAGAGCTTACCTATACAACCTGCCTTGCTGTGCTGAGGTGATTCAGCATTGATGGAGAGAACTTCAATTTTCCGTATGTATTAAGCCAATCTACGAAATTCCCCAGCTGCTCCTCTTTTTTTGAAACCATACGCTACCATTATTTTTAAGTTGTGCCATGTGCTTTTCTAAGAATTTAAACTTTTCCAAGATGAGAGGCAACACTGCCTATTCACCAAAACATGTAGAATGGAAATGATGCATGAGGCCACTGCTTTTTATGGCTCAAGAAACCATATTCAGTGATGGGAAACAACCTGTTAACTGATAAAAATAGACTGTCAATGCAATTGCATCAATACTTCCACAACTGAGCAGAGTAGCGACAGTGTGGCAATAAATCCAATATGCGCCACACACCTTCATCCTATTCACAGCACAGAAAATGTTGTAGACAATCTTTTTTACTTTACACAACTGTGAAATCACACTGATGTGCTCCTTAAACAGGCCATGGGATGGTTGGCCTGTTTCACTTGCACACTGTCCCCGTGGGTGTGCAGTCAAACATAAATAAAAGAGCACATACACACATTCTTCTTTCCAATCACCTCCAGTCAATGCTGAAATCCCACTCTCAGTCTAACAGCAATGCCTCAAGCCCCTCATAACTGGAACTAAATTGTCAGCTTCTAAATTTCCACCAGGCCAGACTGTCAGTTCTACCCCAATGACTTCAAGTCACTGAGCTTCCAACTCAGCCACACAAGCCCAAACAGCAACAGCAGCTCTTGCTCCTCTGAGCCCCACAAGCACATCTCTCCCTAGCCAGGCTTGTACAGGCTGAGCTTCCAACACCACAGCCACCACCCACTCCATCTACGTGTCCAGCCCCACGCAGTCTCCCACAGCAGCCTGCAGTAGATGAAACCACCCCAACCTCACACTCATCCCTCACAAACAGAGCCAACCAAGTCCCACATAGGCTCACCCAAAAGTAGCCAAGCTTGTAGCCAAGCTTAGGTGCCAGATACAAAAGACACATATCTTCCCTGCTCAGCTTCTAGCCTTAGTTTCAAAGAATCACAGAATCAATAAGGCTGGAAAAGACCTCAGAGATCATCAAGTCCAACCTATGACTGGACACCACCATGTCAACCACTGAGTGCCAGGTCCAATCTCTCCTTGAACACCTCCAGAGATGGTGACTCCACTACCTCCCTGGGCAGCCCATTCCAATGCCCAATCACCTTTTGTGTGAACAAATGCTCTCTAATGTCCAACCTAAACCTCTCTTGGAGCAACTTAAGACTGTGTCCTCTTGTCCTGTCACTTGTCACCTCGGAGAAGAGCCCGACCGCCAGCCAGCTACAACCAACCTCCTGTCAGGCAGTTGTAGAGTGTGATGGGGTCACTCTTGAGCCTCCTTTTCTCCAGGCTGTACAACCTCATTCTCTCTATTGATTCCCTTACAAGTTCCCATAAGTAGAACGCATTTTCCCCATTTTCAATATATTTACTTGCCCCCGGATTTCACAGCTGGGTTATACTGAAGAGGACTTACGACTCTCCCTTCTCTCCCAGGTCACTTTTGCTTTGAAATCGCGCGTACCCCCTACAAACAGGCACATACGCAATCCCTCTCCCCAGGCCAAGCCTCCCCCCACACTCGCCAGCGGAGCCCCCCCATAGCCTCTGCCACAGCCACATAACGCCACCCGACCCACGGCGCCGCATCGGCTCCACGCCAAACCCCCCGACAGGCCGCCCCGAACGCACCTGGCGGCCCCTCCCGCCGCTGTGCCCTCACACAGAACCCCAGGCAAGGATACAGCCCCAGCCCCGGCCCCAGCGAGCACCTCCAGCCACACCGGCGGCCGCCGCCGCCATCTTGAAAGAGCCGCCACTCCCTGCATACCCCCACCGCCCCCCCGGCTCTCGCAGCCCATTGGCTGTCTGCGCCAGAGGCACGCGGAAGGGTACGAGGCATGCCGGGAATCGTAGTCCTCTGAGCGCTGGCCGCCGCCATGGGCCGACAGGGGCACCGCCCAGAAAAACTATTATTCCCAGCGTGCCCTACGGCTACGGGGCAGTAGGAAGGACAGAAAGGCATTGTTCTCTGTCGGGCTGGGCAGAAGCAGGACTGTCTCACAGAGGATGGAGGAAACACTCACCACCGGCATCAAGCCATACCTGGACAAGCTCACCCTGGGAGTCACAAGGATATTGGGTGAGTGGCGTTGAGCTACAGCCCCACAGGGCGGGGGCAGGCCGGGGGGGGGGGGGGGGAGCACCCGGTTGTCAAGGCCTCTCCTGTGAATCGCTCATCTGAGCAGCCTATGCACACACGCAGACACGTCCTTGTTTCTAAAAGCAACGGCAGGAATCTCGAATCTCTCGAGTTTAAGGGTTTCATAAACATCAGAGAAGTAGAAGGTGGTGTTTTATGAAAAATCATGGGATCACTGAATGTTAAAAAGTGGAAAGAGACTGCAAAGATCATCCAGTCCCAACCCTGATTCCATGGGCAGGAACAGCTTCCACTAGACCAGGTTGCCCAAGGCATTATCCAGCCTGGCCTTGAACACTGCCAGGGATGGACATCCCAAGATTCTTTGGGCAAACCTGCCATTCTCTCGTTACCCTCAAAGTAAAGATTTTCTTCCTAATAACCAACCCAATTTTCCTTTCTTTCAATTTGTATCCATTACTCCTTGTCCTATCACTACAGTTCATAATGAATAGTCTCTCTCCAGCTGCCCCGTAGGCCCCCTCCAGATATTGTAATGTTCCTATGAGGTCTCCCCAACCTTCCTGTGTAAATCGTGCCTAAATTTGATCCTCTGTGGTAGTGTGGGGTCAGCAGGGAGTGTGCCCCGAGAAGGGGAGTTCAGCATGGTGCAGTGCTCTGGTAAAAGGCCAATTTGTGAATCTGCTCGGGATCAGATCCCTGCAAATAGCTGCCCTGCAGCTCATTCCCACACTGTAAGAGTTGTTCCACAAAATGCCCTGCTTGCCATTTCCAGGTTTTGCTCAGATCTTGAGCCTTCTTGCATCCCCTCAGCTCCCTCTGAAGTTCAGCAGGACTGCAAGGCATCCAAAGGAAGGATTCTCAAACAAAACTTTATTCGTATCAGCGGAATCACAAGGCTTTGTGCAACTACTTGTGTGTGCAAAGCATTTCAGCATTATAGCTTTCATACCTCAGCAGCACAGAGCACAGGACTGTCTTGCTTGGAAAGCTATACACCTATCCCAAACCATGTGTACAACAAGAATAGAAGTTGCAGTCTTGGAATTTCTTCCAAGAAATTTTAGGAAATTTTAGAGCCAAAAGTGAGCTCTAAGTATCTCACCCCAACACTGCATTGCAGGACAATGAGTTCCACCTGGTAACCTCAGTGTATCTGTAGTTGCACATGGGTTTGGATAGTTGCTCAAACAGATGAGATTAAAAGATCAGGATTAAATTCTTCCTCTGAGCTTCAGTGAGGACAGGATTTCACCCTCAATCTCTGATCAGTGTTGTCATACTGACTTACTATTGGACTTCTGGGGGGGGGTGGATTTTTTTTTTCTGTTTGTTTGTTTTGTTAATTGTGAGGTCAGGATAACATTACTCTGTGAGTGAAACTGATGATGATCATCATAGTAAAAGCTTCTTTGAACTAGCTTTTTTAAAAAATTACTAGCCCTGCTCACATTTTCACCACCCTCAGGTGTGTGAGAGCTGTGAGATATGAACTGTGTCCAAATGTCACATTGCCATATAAACTGTTTCAGGCAGGTGTGTTGTCTACACCAGCACAACATAGCAATGCAGGTATGGCTCTGAAAGTCCTGTAACACCCCTTTCACTTGGAAGGTGTTTCCTGGTTTATGTTTTCTTGTTTTTCCCTCTGTGTCTCTCACAACTTGTACAATACAGCAACATCCATCACAGTGATATTTTACTCTACTTCTTTTCTCTGTCTCTACACGCCTTTCGGGAATTTGGCACATTTTTTCCAGTTAAGTAGTCCAAGGCATTTGGTGGCACTGTGCACCAAATTAATTAGAATTAGTTAGTTAATTGGGAAACATTACCAGTCTGTTCAGTGCTTGTTTCTTTCAAATAACAAAGGGTATCTCATTCAGAATGACTCTTTGCTCAGTAATTAGTACTACTAGAAACTATCTTACTTTAAATCCTTTGGAAAGTCTCATGAAGTCACTTGATATTTTCTGCCTAATGTAAAGGACAATCAGGCATTGTTTTGTTAGTTTGGGGTTGTTTTTTTTTTAAACTTTAGTCTCTGTGGAAGTTCCAACAAGAAGGGATATTTCTCACAAGCATTGTGAAGGCTATACCTTGAGGTAAAAAAGGAAAAGATCTTTCCCATTGCCAGTATGATTAATTTTGCTGAAGTTCTGTAAGTAATAGAAAATTCCATAAATATTTATTATTCATGATTAAGTCAGAATGGAAGGTGTTACCTCTTCTGGATTGCCCAGGATGGAACCATACTTCACTGTTAGCAGTCTCTATTAGATAAGAACATAACTAGTCAAACATTTTAAAATTACGCTGAGAATTTAGCCAATTTATAGGCAGTATTAGCAGTACTGTAAAGACTGAAAATCCTGTGATTTCCTGCTTCAGCTTTGTGTCACACCATTACATTGACTGTTTCTGATTAATACTGAAAATAATTTTTGGAAGCTTCCAAATGAAATGTCCTAAAAATAGGGCAGTGTCTACTATGATCTTGATTCAGATCAATTGTTAGGGTGGAGCCACCTGAAGAAGTTAAGCTTTTAAGATGTATCTAGGTGCCACTAAAGTGGCTTCTTCTTTTCTTCCATCTGGAAGGAAAAGCAGCTCATGTCAAAGTTAACCCTAGATGTTCAATGGAGCTCTCATCCATACCTACACACATCTATTAGACATGGTCTTCAGTTTACCCACAGTATATTTTTAATACAATATTTGGGCTTTTAAGGTGGAATTTCTTTTTCTTTTGATCTTGGATTTGGTTCAGACCTCTTTAGAAGTCGCATTTTCTCGTTCTTAGACATCTTCTTTGACTGATATGGTATTTAATCTTCTGTCATCCCAGCCAAGATGTTGTGCATGATGAATTAAACATCCCTGCTGTTTTCTTTGATCACAGAAATAACAATTACTCTGTTATTATAATCTCCTCAACTTGTCATAAGGTTTGCATAGCTTAGATGGAAAAGAACAGTTAGGTAATTGATTCCACTCTCTTGTTCAGACAGCTTTTATTTGAGCAAAAGACAGATCGGCTGGCCTTGGACCCACCTACCAGAAGTGAAACTTACTGAAACATCAGAGCCTTCTGTATGTTGGGGGTCCTCCTTGGCCAGACAAATTTAACTGTGTGACCAACCTTTTTTTTTTTTTATGTCTTTAACTTGGAGTTTGCTGTTCTGATGCCATGTTTTATCTTTTCAATTATCTGACAATGTAGCAATCAATATTTCCAACTGAAGTGAAGTTTAGGCTTCCTGAAACTGAATGCCACTCCTCCACCAGCAGGACAGACAAGGACAATGCTACTGATAGAATTAAAACCTTAGCATTGCAGAAAAAAAAAACAAAACAAAGCTCTTTAGTGCCTGCTTTTCCTGTCTGGTGCACTGTGTGTATTTTTCCAGAAAGCAATTGTAATGTGTGTGACTGCTTTAGGGGCCAATACTTTGACAGCAGAGCCAGTCTTGAAAGCCCTGCATAGTTATCACTTGTATCCCATGGCCCTGTCTGCTGGGCTTGCAGTTCCCACAACAGTTTAGTAGTCTTTCTGGAATTGGTCCAAAGAGAATTATCTCAGTGGGAATTATTTCAGTAGGCTGTGGATGAAGTAAAACATTATAAAATAGTACGTGTAAGGGAGTCTGTTCTGCCATCCCACACCTGAAAGCACCATGTGGATTAGCACTTATATTTATATAGCATTCTTTGCCACAAAATATTCAGAAGATTTCTATAGATTGATAAATCTATAAAATTTCTTATAAGTTCAGTTCTTGTAACAAATTTTCAGTGTCCAACTGAAGTTCCAGAGAACTGATGTTTGCTCATGCAGATCCCTTCAGCAGGATCAGGTATTGTGTCTGTGAATGGCAGATCCATTCACTGAATCCAGAGCTGAAGTGTTCTTGTCCTTGTGAAATAGGGTTGTTAGCAGTTCACAGCAGCAGTGCACTACATCTTGTCCCCAGCTGAGGATATCCTACCCAACAGAAATCATAGGGCATGCTTACAAATAAAGATTCATCCCCCTTTAAGAAAGAGTTTGCCTCAAAATCCATCACTGATTTTTTTTTTTCCGTTTTTCCATGAAACCTCTGTAAAATATCATACCTTGAAGACAGATTGTATGTGCTTATATCATAGGATCACAGAATGGTTTGTGTTGGAAGGGACCGTAAAGATCATCTTGTTCCAACTCTCCCACCCTGGGCAGAAATGCCACACCTAAATCAGTGTATGTGTAGATATATCATGATATGTGCATATATATGTATAAAAAAAATCAAGAGATAACATTTTGTGCAGCACTAGACATCCTCATGCCAAGACATGCAAAGTACAGTTATAGACAAAAGAAAGTGACTGCTCAGTCACCAGCACAATGCTTGCAATCATTAATGCCTTTTCCCTGGCTGTCACTCAGAGTAATTTGCAAAACTGTCTGTCTCACAGTGTTGGCGTCACCCATACGAGCTGCAAAAATGCTCCTCTTTTCCTTTCAGAGACTTCCCCAGGAGTTGCTGAAGTGACTTTTGTGGAAAAGGAGCCTGCTGAACGCCACACAATCGTCTCTTGGGAGCAAGTGAGTATTTTCCTGATAAAACTGCAGTGAGATCAGTTTGAATGTGCAGCAGCCCATGGAGAATGTCAACCATGCGTTTATGAGACAGCTTGTTACCAAGTTTGATGTACTGTGCAGCCTAAACAGGTGTTGTTGGGTTTTTCTTAATCAGGTACTCTTTTAGGCTGTCACGTGCATCTGATTTGTTAGAGAAACATCATCAGTGTGGGTACATTCAGCATGACAGCTCTAAAAAGAAACCACATAACTGTAGGAGGCAGCTACAGTGGTGACTCAGTGGGGAGCAAACATTTATCTGACTCAGGTCTGAAAACATTTTCCAACTCCCTCTCAAACAAAATGAAGCAGTGCTATGTGATTCATGGCCATTAAAGGTAAAGGCCTCAAGCTGGCAAATATTGAGCTACCCAGTTTGTTCCAATTATCTGTTTCTCTTTTTTAGTCTCAGCCATTTGCTTCAATTTCTCATATCCCTTTCTTTCACCTCCTCTTTGGCTACCCAACCCAATCTTTTGGCCAGGGCATGTCCCATTGCCTGCTCTAGAAGACTATGAAGGACGTGTGCTACCTTCAGTCTGCATTATCTGACCTTCGGCATCAGTCTGTGTGATTAGAGAGCTCCTAAAAACTGTTGTGTGCCTCTCGTGGGCAGAGGTGGCATTTTCACTCCCTCTTTGGAATATACATTTCTTCATTAATCCCATGGCCATGGTGGAATAACTGCTTGGTAGGTATTGCTTGTGTAGGGATGGGACAGTAGAAGCTCTCTGGCCTTTGGAAAGGGACATGGCAGGGGATGGAGTTGACTGAATCATCCTCCCTCTGCTCTAACCCTGGCTGTGGCCTAAAGCAGCTGCTCCCAGAGACTGCTCTCGTTACCACTGCATAAAATACAATACTCTTTGACAACTTGCCATTTACTGTCTTTCCTAAATAGTGAAAGGAGAGCCTTACATCAGTTTTGGTAATGCCATATTCCAATTAGTGACATTATCAAGAACATATATAATATATATTTATAGATATATATTCCAAGTCGGAATGTATGTGGTGTAAACCTCTGTGTTACTTTCTGAAACTTGTCCAGAAGTCAGCAGTTGTGGTCAGGGAGAAATATCCTGTTTTTCAGGTTAGTGTAAACTGATTCCTGGTTTCCTGTAGCTGTTGTTCAGGTGTTGGGTTAACTGAGCTGGAAAGTTTGAGGCACCATGACTGCAAGCCAGCTCAGGCCTGGGAACACAGAGTGATATTTGCTCATTCTTCTGTTGAATGGAGAGGACAGCTTCTCCTGGACACGGTGTTCATTCCTCTCATTTTCAGGTGCTGCTCCTCTAAACTACAATGAGTTTACTTCAAAACAGAGCTATTCTTGTAAAGCCAAACAAATGTCATAGCTAAAGAGACGCCAAAACAAAATTTCAGTTCCAACCCTCCCCCTCAACCCAGCGATGTACTAAGTCAATTGTGGAAGTAAATGTTGAAAATTAAATGAGTACAATTGAGTTGGGCTTCTAATAGTGAAGGATTCTTTGGTTTTGGTTCCAGTTGCATTGATTAAATTAAATTAATTAAATTTCTCAAATTGAAAAATAACTGGATTTTTTCTTTTCTCTTTTTTTTTCTTTTTCCTTGTGCTCTGGGGATGAAGTGTAAACCTAACCCGGTCTATACGGTTGCAGGACAAAATGTCCTGCCGTGATGATTAAGTGCAATGTACTCAACAATTCACAAAGCTGTTCCAGGATGAACTTGAACTTGTATGTCATTTTTCCTGAAACTTACCTTTCTTGAATGTGAATACGTTTGGTTTTTTTTATCGGATTTTTGGCCACGAGGTGGCAGTACTTATGCACGTAATCATTTCTCCGTAGCTGAGATTTTTAACAAGATTTTGTCAGAATATATTTTTAACTTCCCTCTGCATCTTTGGTCATGAAACTATTTGCAGGACTTATTCTGTGATGTAGAAAAAATGCTGAAACTTTTCCCAAAACTACGTTATTTTTCCCCCAACAACTTATTTTTCTATTCAGCCTCACTAAATAAAAGCTTTATTCTTTAGATTAATTGTTTAATGGAATTAATTTTTCCAGTCCTACTTGAGTTCTGCAAGGAAAGATTTTTTTACTGATAAAAAAATCCAAGTGTTCAGAAGCTCTTAAAAGAAAATCAACCTTTCAAAATTATTAATTAACATATTATTTTATTCATGCCTGGTATATGCATTTTTGTTTCCATCAGCCATATTTCCTAAATTGTGCTGTGCCACGTTTGCGCTACTATGTAACTGGATACTGCAGTGTTTTAAAATCTTACCTTGTTGAGATTAAAAAAATCTTTCAAATCTTAAGCTTGTTCAATGTTCTTTAGCTTCCATGAAGCTTTGGAGGAGAAGCTGAGATTCATGACAGGAGTTAGTGCAGTAAGGCTGTAGGAGAGAAGAAGAGATTTTTCCCAAGACAGAAAAAGCTGCTAAGTGTTACATGTCAGGAAGTCAAACTTGAACTCACTCCTGAAGAATTTATTGGAAATTAGCACACTCACAAAAATGTTTAAATATATGGTTGCCAAGTGTATTTACATGGGTAAAGCATCGCTTCTACTAAAATTGTAAGCAATTCAATATATTTTAATAAATCCAGATAATTTTTCAATGTTTCCTCATACTTAAACCTATTAAGATGTCACCTTTTTCCCCAGAAAGAGAGACGAGATGTACAAGAGGAAGTAGAGAGAGAGAGTTACCTCATCACCAGAAAACCAATGCTAATAACCGTATATCATCCTAAGAACCCTTTTCCACTTCTAAAATTAGGCTGGCAATGGCCCTACTCCCCTCCACATGCAATTTTTAGAAACAGATGTTACACTAAAATACTGCTAGGAGGCACTCTGGTGCAGTGTCTGAATCACATTTTCTTTTTTGCCACAACTAGAAGAGAAATGAGTCACTCGCTTCATTGTTTTGGTTTTCAAAAAATAGAAAATTGCATTTTGTTGGAGGGACACTGAGGTACCCGAGACCATTTTCTCTTGTCTTTCTCACTTGTTACTTGGGAGAAAAGCCTGACCCACACCTGGATTTCAGGGACTTTCAATACCTTTCAGGTGGTAGAGAGTGAGGTCTTCCTCAACCTCCTCTTTTCTAGTCTGAACAACCCCAGGTACATCAACCACTCCTCCCAGACTTGTGCTTCAGACCCTTCCCCAGCTTTGTTGCCCTTCTCTGGACAATCTAGCCCCCTCAGGGTCCTTCTTGCTGTGAGGAAACAAAGCTGAACACAAGATTCAAAGTGCGGCCTCACCAGTGTCCCCAGCACAGGGAGATGAGCACTGCCCTGGTCCTGCTGGCCACACTACTGCTGACACAAGCCCGGTGTTATTTGCCTTCTTGGCCACCTGGGCACACTCCAGCTCATGTCCAGCCACCAAAAACCAGCACCTCCAGGTCCTTTGCCACTCAGCAGCTTTCCAGCCACTCTGTCCCAGCCTGGAGCTGCAGGGGGTTGTTGTGACCCAAGGGCAGGACCCAGTGCTTGGCCTTATTGAATCTCACACAATTGGCCTCAGCCCATGGATCCAGCCTGTGCAGATCCCTCTGCAGAGCCTTCCTGACCTCCAGAAAATCCACACTCCACCCAACTTGGTGTTCTCAAACTGACTAAAGGAGCTCTTGATTCCCTCATTCAGATCATCAGTAAAAGTAACAGTGCTGGCCCCAGCAGAGAGCCCTGGGGCACACCACACCGGCCCCAGGATGTAATTCCATGCAACCAGCACTCTCTGGGTAGGGACATCAGTTTCAGCAAAAAGCCATGAGCAGCCAATTCCTCCAGGAAGATGTTGTGGAAATGGTGTCAAAGGCTTTACTGAAGTCTGGGCAGACACATCGCCAGACTTTCCCTCATCCACTAAAAGGGTCACTGTGTTACAGAAGGAGATAGGGTCAAGCAGTTATGCATTCCACAAATCCAGCTGGCTGGGCCTGATCCCCTGGATCTCCTGAACATGCCACGTGATGGACACTCAAGAAGATCTCCATGAGCTTCCCCAGCACTGAGGTCAGGCTGTCAGGCTTGTAGTTTCCTGGTTCCTCATTTGAAACCTTACACACCATCCAGGAACCTCCTGAGTTGCTCCCTCTACTGTGTAGTTTCCAGCACATGTCTAGAATGTCATCCTGCTCGCTTCTGCTACATCTCTTTTTTACTCCAAATATGCATGCAGGGTGTACATCTTCAACAGTCCTTGGCACCCTTAGCATTAGCCAAGCCTGCTCTCCCTGGTCCCCGTGAGCACAGGATCTACTCACCTTGAGCTTGCCTTGTGGCTGTGACTGTGAGAGAGATGGGGAAGTGGATTCATCAGGGCCAGCATCGTGAGGAAAGCTAAGTTTCTTCAGGCTGCATAATGGGGAACAGACTGAAGGAATTTGGGGAGGTAGTGCTTCTTACACGGTATCCCCCCTCTTGTTAAGCTTTATAACATATTGAAAAACTAGCTGCACAACAATATCCTCAAGAGAACTTTAAAATCCTGTTCTCTGCAGCAAGGAATCAAGTCTACTCTAACCCCAGAAAATCAAGGTGATCTCCTGGGTGCCCCACAGGTTAGATTTATTAAAGGTGCAACAAGAGCATCTCAATATGTTACATAAATTAACATCAGCATTCACTGGAAGCAAGGAAAAACCAGCCATGAAACTGCAGGACATTAGGGAGAGAGAAAGGTGGCTGCTGATGTGGTGTGATACTTGGAAGCCCTGAGAAGTTTCATTAATGCCTTCTTTCTCTCCCCATAAGCTGGATAAAACTCATTAATGTTTTTAGAGGTCTCTAGAGCTGTATGTTTTGAATGCTGTTTCTTTAGTATATTTGTTTGAGAAGCATTGTTTCAACAGTGTTTCAAGTGAATTATCACATGTCAGGGTTCTAAGTTTTGGACGCACTTGTAATCAGGTCCTAACAGCAAAAATCAGATTCTAATATTTTTCTGTGTACTCAATGGGCTGTGCTTTCGTAGGAGACTATTTGGAGATATTACAGAAAACAAACAAAAGGAATAGACCTTACACACCATAATAAGCACTTGGGATATTTTGTTCTATGAGCTGATGAGTGTAACCAGATAACTGGAATGAAAACAGCTGCTTGCCAGGGCTGTGGTTAAGCCAATTCTGACATGTTATTTAGGAACAATGTATTTTATGGGGCTGGAGAACACAACCCTGAGAACTACCAGTTGAGCAGGAGGAATACTGAGTTTGATAAGCCATTTTTAATATATAGTGGCTTGTTTCCCTGACTGCTGTCAGGAGATTACTGTTCTAATATCATATGGTCATGTGTCAAAGCACAATATGACATATAATAAATCCTTTTCATCAGATGAGAGAAATGGATGTTAATGAAGCTTTCTATTTACAGGCCTTTTCCTATAGATGCCAGACCTGCTCTGATACTGCATTTTCTACCCATATATTTTGCACCATCATTTGGAAACTCATGCAGAGGGACATGGTTTAGAGAATCCTGAAATAAATTCAGAGAGCAGCCATCTGGAAAAACATGCACCTGTTGATCTTTTTCAAAAGGAGGATTCAGAGCAGAAAACCTATTCAGATGTGATTTTTCTCTTGTCTTAGCTATATCTGTGAAATTGGTCTGTGCCTAAGTTGTAGCAGGATTTAAAATGGAAGTTTTAAAATCTTAGGGTTTGTCATCCCAGTGGATCTGGTTCTCCTGCTTGGAGAATAACACCCATTGAAGCCAGGATACTCATTCACATACATGTTTTTACTGCTGCAATGAATTAGTTATAATTGCGGGATTTGAAATGTATTCAAAGTGTTATGTAAACTTTTGTACTATCCTGAGGCTTTGTAGCATGTCTGTCATACTTTCTTCATAGTTTTAGCCATAGTCACTGTGCTTACAGGTACAGCTTGAAACTGCAAGTGATGAAAGTACAGCATGAAATTATAAATATTTAGGACTGAGCAGAACCACAGAAGAAGGTGTGTTTGTTAAAGGCATTTGAAGAACTTCAGCTATGTCCATGTGGTTTACTAATCACTTTAAACTTACCACCAGGTCCTCAGCCATCAGCAGACTCTTGTCGTAGGATGGTAAATTCTTCTCAAAACAGCCTCTGCAGTGTCAGGTTATCTGCTTTAAGACCTGTGGACCCTGAAGATTTTCTCTATCTGGATTAGGAAAGCTCTGAGCTAGTGACCAGGCTGCTTGTGAGGAAGTGACCTGCCCTATTGCAAGCTGCAAAGCCATTAGTGTCTGGGACTCGTCAGGAGCAGTCAATCAATATTAATGGATGTGCTTTAAAAGAAAGTTAACAAGCGCAAGGTTGTGGGCAGATTAGGGGGACCTACATAGTGTGTAAACCCCATTTTGGGGGACAGAGACTGTAGCAACCCAAAGAAAGTGTCTATGAATAAGACTTTAACAGTCAGAAAGGCTGTTCTTGTTCTAGGGAAGGGAGGACATGTGGACAGGATGAGACCAGCACCTTCCCTTCCTCAGCCAGCAGCTGATGACTAGAGGCCAGCATTGCAGCTGGATGCACAGCTGGCAGGTTGCTCTTGCTGGACAGATACATCTCTCTTCTCTTGAGATGTTAAAAATTCATGCCCGAAGTGAAGCAGACATACTTGAACTGTATGTGCATCTTCCTTTTTCTTAGCTACTGCTTACTAGAATATCCTGTCTTTATTTAATGAAACTTTTCCACAGGGAGAGTGGTGCAGCCCTTGGACAAGTCAGTATGCACAGATTGTGGAACCTCCACCATGGGACACTCTCCTGAGTTTTGAGGTCTGATTCTTTTGAAGTCCTGAGTGTGACTATTTTAAATTTCAACTCATTGGAGTCAATCTGTTTTTTTCCCTAAAACAGTTACAAACAGACCAACAGGTAACTCCTTTAGTCATGCTTGTTGCTTGTGTTATTAAAATGTCAGGCTTCCATCCTTTTTAATTTTGTGTACTTGACACTTCAGCAAGAGTAGAGGGTCACTGCTCTGCAGCCAGTCCTTTCCCCAGCAGCAGGGTCTACAAATGCTTACAGCTCATTGGGTTTCTTTTTGCTCTGAAGATTAAGCCCTTATCCTTCCTTCATTGTATTTGCATTTGTATTTTACTGAAGAGTCTAAGGTAAGAAAGACTCCTTCCACAACCAAGACAGGTATAGGAGAAGTGTTCTGGTTCCTAGAAACTCAAGCTCACTGGGGTTGCTTCTTTCACTGGCAGCTCAGAAGGAAGCAGTCTTAGGAGCCCGAGCCATGCACTGAAGTTTGGAAGCCAGACCAGTAGGTTTGTGAGCCTGGCTTTGCACACATTTGCAGACATACTTTTCGTTAAGTGAAACATCAAATCTACTTGAGTATGTGTGGTCTATTTTGAGTCTATACTTCTTTCACCTACTTGGAGCTGAAATTCCTCAGAAGAAGAGAGTCATTGTGCTAATATTGTACATGCTTTAGTGGAACAGGTAGGTTTAGTCTGATTCCACTTAAATCAAAACTCACTCTTTTAAGCCATATATATGAAAAAGCTGATTGTTCTGATTTATGTGAATTTGGAGTGGCTGTTAATCTCAAAAGGTAATATGATGTCTCAGTTTGGGAACAATGCTGTAATAATTTTGCGGTGACTAAATGCTCATTGTGAAATTTCCCCAAACTACCTTTGTTAAGACTGTCAGAGTCCCAAGAAACATGCAGTTTTCTCTCAAGGCTTTAGAATGAGATGTTTGAACTGATTTGAGTCACCTTTGAATTAAGCAAAAAACTTGGTGGTAAATATTTCTGTACCAATTTTCAGTTGTTCTTGGGGTTTGAGGTATATTCTGGATTTTCCCATTACACTTTGATTATAATTTGCAGAAAAACTCCTGTGTATTACCTGAGGATTTAAAGAACTTCTATCTGATGACCGATGGCTTCCAGATGACTTGGAGTGTGAAGACTGATGGTGAGTCCCTGTGTTCCACTCCACTGACAAGCTCAATTCATTGCAGCCAGTCCTTCCTTTGCAGAACCTCTTTAATTTCAAGCTTACTTTCTGCACAATCAGTATACATCTCTCAGGGCAGAATCTACTGCTTGCATGTATGGGCCTCCCACAGAAGACATGCATACGCTGAACACCAGCAAGAAACTATTCGTGACATAAATACTGTTCTGTAATACACTGGCCATCTGTTGACACTCAGGTGTGTCATTTAAACCTTATACCTTAACTCCCTCTGTACTTCATGGAGAGAGAAATAGTTGTAGCTCATTATCCCATCATAAATCTGTAGGAAAAATCACCCTCTGATAATGTTTCTTTCTCATTAAAATGTGCATGTCCATGTTGGAGCCTGATTCTGCTTTCCATCAGCTACATCCCAAGCTTCATTTTCCATCCTTTTTCAGTAAAAATCAAGTAGTTTGTTCAGTCTGGAGCTGTTATCCTGGCTCTCACTGCCCAATCTTAAACTGGGCTGTGGACACTGCTTACTTCTGGAGATGGGTATGAAATGCATGGCCTTCCTCAGGAAGTGGAATGACATTTCAGAGGCAGTTTACATCAGTGCTTTAGCACCTGCAGTGACTCCTATCATGTTTCAAACAGGACTTGGCTGTGTTATGACCTCTGAGAAGTCTTGTTTTCAGGGCTCACCAGTGCAGGGAGACCAAGGCTGCTGGTACAACTCTCTTGTTTGAGCAAACATTCAGAAGTGCCTTCTGAGACCCATCACAGTGGGATGTAGCTGAACAGGGTGCTTGCTCCCTTGATGTCTGCTAACAGTCTGAGTCCTCAGAAACATGGACAAGTGACAAGTCCTGTATGATTCTTTCAGGAGCACCCACATGTTGATGCACTGAAAAATCCTCTGTGGAATTGAGAACCAAGAGGATGTACCCTAAACAGGTACATGAGTGGAAGAGGACAAGCTTCCCAGTAAGCTGTGTGTGTGGGGTGGTTTCTGATGGGAATAGCAGCAGCAGGGAAAAGAGCTTTGAGGAAGAGGCTGTAGCTGAAATCCTGTAGCCAGGATTTTTAATTTTTCACAGGACTGAGCTAACAGCTGCAGCAGTCCTTGCCAGCAGTGTATTCTCATACATTTACAGCTCTGAGACAGTATTGCATCACATGTAAGTGGGAGTCTGTATTTGAAAAAGCCTCATTTTTGCTCCTGTAGAGTCTTATTTAATGTCCAGGCCTGCTGGGTATAACCATCTCTTCACCCCACAGAGGTTGATGTCTGGAGGAAAAGAAATACCTCCCATGCTTTCCTGACATTGGATATGATTAATGATCAGTCTCACTATAGATACTGGATGTGATTAATGATGGGTCTTGTTGCAGATACCCCAATGCCCCTGGGCTCCATGGTGATTAACAGTGTCTCGAAGCTGTGTCGGCTTGGGGGTTCCTCTATGTACACTCTGCCTAGTGCTCCAACTCTTGCTGACCTGGAAGATGACACAGACGAGGAAGGTAAGGCACTGTTACCAGGCTAGAAAACCTGCTGTCTCATCCCTTTTGTTCTGTTAATGTTAGGATATAGCACAAGATAAGTGGACCAAAACACTTCCCACCAGACCAGGTTGCTCAGAGCTCTATCCAGCAGAGCCTTTAACACTTCCAGGGTTGGGGCATCCACAGTTTCTCTGGGCAGCCTGTGCTAATGCATCATTACCCTCACAGTAAAGAATTTTTTCCTAATATCTGATGTAAATCTGCCTTCTGTGTGTGAAGCCACTCCCCCTTGCCCTGTCACTACATATCCTTGTAAAATGTCCCTCTTTGTCTTTCTTGTAGGCTCCATTCCAGGTACTGGAAGACCACAATTAGGTCACTCTGAAGCTTTCGCTTTTCCAGGCTGAGCAAACCAAATTCTCTTAGCACCTCTGTCATTCCCAATGGCAAGGGAATTGGAACAAGATGATATTTAATGTCCCTTCCATTCTACAGTAACATAAAAGGTTACTCGAGGTAGATGGGGATTACTTGGTCTAGCAACCAAGTAATGCAACAAGGATGTCCCTGTCCATGTCAGGGCAGTTGGAACAAGATGATCTTCAAGGTCCACTTCCAATCCAAACCTTCTGTCATTCTGTTGATCTGTGATTCTGTGATCCTGGGCTGGACCTATTATGTATCTTATTAGTTTCCCTGCAGCTTTGGCAGGTAGATCTGTATGCAGTAAATGTCATAAGGATTAGTGTTATTTGCATCCTCCTTGAACAGCTTGTTTTGCCTTTTCCCTGTTTACACTTCCAAAGTTTTTTGTGTGCTCGTGGTGTTACATGAACAAAAGGCAACAGGTTTTGTTTTGGTAGTGAAAAGACAGCTGGTATTGGAAAAGTAACTGGTACACACATGTAACTATGAGGTTACCCTGAAGCACGTGTTCCATGCTGCCCAAAAATGCTGGGAATGCTGCTATTTGGAGAGAATAAAAAAGAAAAAGAAAGCCCACTCATTTTGTCAGAGCTCTCACAGTCAAGTTGGAAAAATCAAGAGGATAAGAACACAGCCAGGTGTCACAACAATGACTTAAAAGAATGCTATCTGATTTCAGTCTTGTCTCTGCATCTCTATAAGCTCTTCTAGCTTCTAAATGTGGCTGAAAGTATTTTTGGACATTCCAGTTTGGGTGCAGTCCTGATCATCTAGCCATTGTAATGAAATGCACCAAATTTTGCTTCTATTTATTGGCTTAAACCTTCATTGGTGCATTTATAAGGTACACTGTGAAAAAATTACATCCCCACAGAAGTTCTCATCCTGACTTTCATGGAAAATTCTTCTGAAGAGTACAGCTTTTGTACATCCCACTTCTTCCCCATAAGGTTTAGTTTTCAAAATTGCATTCTGCAGGAACTTGCAGCTACACAGTCCCAAAACTGTGTTGTAGAAATGCTCAGTAATGGTTGAGGGTCACAAGTTGAATAAGAGTCAGATGTAGCTGTTGAGAAGGATGCTGGTGTCACACTGGAATGTATGGAGAAATATATATCTCTGCAATTTCGTTAAAGTCTTAAAGAAAAAGAATAAATTGTTCTCCCTGTCCTCCTTAGAAAAAAAGTAAATCAGGACAAAAAAAGGAATCATATATACAACAGAAATAATGGGCTTCAATTGTAGCAGGAAGATTCAGGATCCATGAGGAAAACTTCGAAGTGATAAGTGATGGATTTGGGTTGAGTGCCTAGAGACTATGTCTTCTCTAAGACTGGAGAACTTTAAGAAAAGATTAGCCAAACCTCAGGAGTGACATCTGTAAACCTTGTATTGCTTAATGGCAGGGGGGAACTAGAAGTCAGCTCATCTATTTTCAGCCATCTGATTTTGACTCTGTGGTTTGTTTTCCTAATAGAGATGAAAATTGTCCTCACTATTTTTTTTTTTTGCTTAGTTTTATTTTAAACATAGGCAACTTAATCATTTCCAAGAAGTATAAATGTAGTATTTCAATTCAGTTCTTCATCAGCTGATTTATTAATGTATAAAACAGATTGACTCTTTGCAACTGGGTCACAGTCAGTTTTCCAAACATGTTTCATAATTTTTTTCCTTGGTTTCAGGTAATGGAGACAAACCTGAGAAGCCACACTTCGATTCTCGTAGTCTTATCTTTGAATTAGACCCATGCAATGGGAATGGGAAAGTGTGTCTTGTTTATAAGCATGCTGAACCAGGTAAGACTGAAAAAAGAAGTTTGTTACTTCCTGTTACGGATTGTATCTGGAGGCCACATGTAGAGAGTTGTCTTGTATTTCTGATCTTCTTTGCAATCTGTAGGTGAAACTTTTACTGGGATTTCTTGTCTCCACTGAAGTCAGGAGTTAAATCTTAAATAGCTCTAACGTTTTCACTCCTTTTCATGTTGGAGTCTGAGTTATAACTTATGATTTCTGCATGCACAGAAACAGGGAAGTATTCACATGTGACCTATAAAGAGTTGTGTTGAAATAATACAGAGCTCCACTAATACAGCTACTTGCATGTCTTGGAACAAACCCATTACATTTTGATGAGAAAGGGTATAACTCTGCTTAGAAACAAAGTGTAGATGGTAAAAAAAATCTGAGAGAGAATTAGACTGGATCTTCCACCTTGTGCATGGATGCTGAGCCTCCAGGTGCTAACTAGGCAAAATGTGGCAGGGAGGGTTAATGGGAGGGTGAGAAATGGAAGCTGAGCTGTTTGTTCTGACAGATACAGAGATAACTGTTACCAGTAAGAGAGTAGTGAAACACCTAAGGCACTTGTAAAATAGCTGTCATCTGACACAGTGCACAGGTCTCTAGATGTGTGTTTACTGTGTAGGGTTGTGCAATTCCAGTATACAGGTTCTTAAGAAAAATCTTGGGTTGATCTCTTGTGCCTTTCATTGGGTGTAACTACAGTTCTTGTCCTCTTGCCTCCCAGTGTTAGTGATTTCAGCACTTGCAGTGGATTACCTGGGCAAGGGAAGGGAGCACTGGTTACAGGTGTCCATGTCAATACAGGGGCAGCCTGTTTAAATGACAGTGTTCGGCATCTCAGTCTCCCAAGAAAATAACTTCCTTTTGTGCTACAAAGGATGCCAGAGAAATATTTGATCACTGTAGAAAGATTTTGCAAAATGTGTTTTTGTTGGCAGCACACACTCCCGTGACTTCCAGACTCTGGACTCTGTTCAGTAAACCAGATGACTAACAATTGAGTTAGTTGCTTTTTACTTTGTGGGGCAGATAAATGTTTGCCATAATTGTACTTTGAACATATACCACAAAGTTGCTGATGTCCAAGAATGTTCCATGTAGCGTGTCACTCCCAGGTTGTGAAGGAACAGCATTGCATTCATTGTCTAGCACACAGCTAGTCAAATACTCCATGCAGTGGGTGAACACTGGCTGATGGGTAGGACACAAAAGGTTATAGTAAATAGGGCTAAATAGTAAATAGTCATCACATCAGGCTGACACTTGTGGGGTTCTGCAGGGCTCCATCTTGGGCCCAGTGCTCTTCGAACAGCTTGAACACAGGACTGGAAGGTTCTGAGTTTGTTCATTATACTGAATTGGGAGAAGCTGGTGGCTCCCTGGAAAGCCCTGCAAAGAGACCTCAACTAATTAGGGAGATTGGCAACCACCAACCATATGAAGTTTAACAAAGACAAGTTCTGGATTCTGCACCTGGGCTGGAAAAAGTCTGGATGTACATAAAACAGCCCTTCTGATGAGTGTGTTGTGTCTCCCACCTGACAATGGCCAGGGGTTAATATTAATATTGCAAAGCAACAGTGTAATTTGTGCTTGTTTTATTCCAGTGGTCTCCCCAGACACAGAGATCTGGTTCCTGGACAGAGCTCTGTATTGGCATTTCCTCACCAAGACCTTCACAGCCTACTACCGCCTGCTCATCACCCACCTGGGTCTCCCACAGTGGCAGTATGCCTTCACCAGCTATGGGGTCAGCCCCCAGGCCAAGGTAGGACAGCAGCACCCAATCTGTCAGTATTTTGCATAAGTATAGACTGGAAAAACATCTTCCCACCTTTTGGCAAGCTGTCTGTGGGTTCAAGGGGGTTCCCCTGGTGAGCCACAGAAGGGACCACAAGTTTTTCTCTGTAACTTGTTAACAGTCATTTGTTTCACAGTAATTTGCATTCACTAATATTGTGTTAACCCTGCTTTCTCTCAGCAGTTGGGCCTTGATAAAAATTATGCCCCAAAAAGGGCAATTTAAAGTCCTAGAGGTAGCTACAGAAGACCTCTACATAAAGCCTTGTGAGCATTCCAATCACTTATTATTATTAAAATTACTATTCTGCCATGCCAACATCCTGCTGTTAGAGGCTTCTGCAGTTCTTCTGTGTTTGACTGGGCCTTCAGCCCTATCTCTGCCTCCATCCTGTGAGAGGTCAGGGAATGAAGCTGATGGTCCTACTGAACACAGCTCATAAGCCAGCACATTGTCAGTGCACCTTGGCAAGGCCTGTTGGGACTTGAGTGTCCCGCACTTCACCTAGACATGACAGTTGTCTTATCAGCATGAGATTCCCTTGTCCTGTGTGCACATCAGAATTACTAAAATCACTCCTGACTTCCCATCAAACAGTGGCTGTAGAATTTGGTTCTTCTCATTCCTGATGCCTTCCCTGTTACACTGCACTGGACTTTATCAGTCAAGGCTGTGTACGTGGCACCATGCTCTGCCTTTCTGTAAGTTCCCTGCTATAAATATTTTATTATGTTCAGTATATTTACAAACCTTAAGAGGAATCATTTATATATTCCCTAATCATTTGCAGCCCCTGATGGTTAAAATCCTCCTAGTTCATTAACCATTATAATTTTTAAAGGTTTTCAAGGGGGTATATTAAAGATGTTTCTTAAGCAGTACATTAATAGATGATTATCTATATTTTGGTATTCATCTTCTGTTTATCTTGTTCAACACTTTGCTGATGGTTTCATTGTGATTTGCAATACCATAACTACTACAGTTTTATTTCCTGAATTTTTTAATGAAAAAATGATACAAATAAAATAAATAAAGAGTTGAGAACTGTAGGGCGTAACGTGGTATCTGCTGCAACCAAAAAACCAAATCATTGCAGTTACTTCTAGATAGAAAATCAGAAACAATAAGACAAACAAACTCAAAATTCTTTGTGTAAGGAGTCAAAAAAAATCATTATTTTATGTATGAAGAGAGGGAGGAACGTTCTGAGAAATTCAGCTAGTTGGTTTTCAGTTTATAAGCACATTTAAATTCCAAAGGATTTTTAATAGTTTCTGCTTATCTGAATCTAAATAAATGTTGTTTAGTTTCATCCTTTCCTTTTGCTTTTCCTCCTGTAAATCAGGATTTGCTTTTCATAGGAGTTACACTGCAGGAAAGGTGGTGTTAGGGTTGTGTCTGGTTCTCCTCTTCCCTATCTGGAATGCAATTCCAGGACTAGGGCTGTACCCGTGCCTTGTGTATCCTTATCACAAGCACTCTTCCAAGTCTCGTAAACTGCTAACTGATAAGTGGCATAGGATTAAGATCATGTGTTGGGGAAGATGGGGAGCAAGGTGGACTTATCTAACTGCAGTTTGAATTTAACCTGTTCTTTCCCCACCATCCTGCCTTTCAGCAATGGTTTAACATGTATAAACCCATAACCATCAACACAGCACTCCTGTCTGAAGAAGCTGATTCCTTTGTGAACAAGCTGGACCCCAATAAAGTTTTTAAAAGCAAGAACAAAACTCCAGTGCTCAAGAAGAAACCACCTTCACAGCCACCAGGCTCCCAAAAGAGTCACACAAACATGACCTCTGCCAAGACATCCTCACTAGCTGGGAATTCTTCAAGGAAGTGAGCCCACCAAATCTGACCCTGGACAACATTTGCAATAAGCTTTGATGTTTTCTGCTGCAGAGTCTCAGTGGTTCAGACCAAGTTCCTTGTGCATGAATAGATGTGCCCATGGGAAAACACATTGCAGCACTTGCATGAAATATAGCCACAATGTGAATGTAGTTCCTGGAGGCTCTTAGAAAAAAACAAACTTGATACACCAATTGCATTCCCTTCTTCTACTTGAAGCATGTGCTTTGCAGAAGGCATGAAGAAACCTTTGATGTCACTGCTCTGTAGGGAAGTTTTTGTTCCTGTACAACAAGGAAGTTGAAATGCAGCAGTGAAATGAAAGCAAATGTAGTTCACTGTAACTTTAACAGACCCGTGCTGAAGTAGAGGGTGTGAAGATTTTCTGCCATGTCCCTTGAAAAAAAACTGTCCTGACCTTGCATGCTGTGGGAGCAGGCTGCAAACCACTGAACACAGAAGTATCTTTCACTCCAGATAGAATCAAACCCTTCACTTCCCTGCGCTTCACCCAACTTCTGCTCCGAGATTCACAGTACAATGGGACTTGTGACTTCCATATCTCTGCATTAACCGAGCCACTTGTACAGCCCAGACCACTTTTTGGCCTTTGTGCTGTATCTTTTCAAATGGTGATGTGATTTGAAACAATCCTGAAGCCAGAAGCTGCAAGATCCTTTGTTGCCTCCCTTTTGTGGGAGCTGCTGAGCAGAGAGTCAATGGTGTTTAGTCCCATCAGCCAGGAGGACCCCTCAGTTTGTCACACATTCATTTGCAAAGCTGGCCATTGAAACAGACACTTTTCAGTTGGGAGTATCTCACCAGGGGCCACTGAGATCCTACAGCCTTAGAAGCCCCTGATGCTGTTTTCTCTACTGTAAATTTTCAGGTTAGAACTGCACTTTAACCCATTCACTGCTGGTTTTCAGTTATTCCTGTTTGTTTCCATTACTTTTCTATGCTATTCTGTCTTCCAAATATGCTGGAATCATGGTAGCACCCAACACATTTTGTGCCTGAATATGGATATCAGAATCACTGTCTTCAAGTAAGTATTGATTATTTAAACAGCATCATCTCTAATTTTTGAAACCACCAATAATTACATAAGACAAACTTACCTCACAGGGATGTTGTGAGGCTTTCATGAGTATTTGTATGGCCTTCAGAAAGATAAAGCCATCCTGTAAGTGCTTAATAGTATTTTAATAAATATTTGAATATTTTCCTCCAAATTGATTGGGTATTTCAAAATGCTTTGGGGAGCACATGGACATGGGATGCAAAGGATGTATGGGAAGAGCTGCGTTCAGGACGGATTGTTTGGGGTATTTTTTTAATGCATTAGAGAATATCTCACTGAGAAGGGATGGGTTGCAGTGCTTTTAGCTAATCCCTCTTGAGCTACTCAGAAGTTTCCAGTTTATGTCGCATAGGCCAAAAGACTGAACTGTGTGGCAGCTGTTCTACTTCTGTCCTGCAGTCACTATACAAAATCTCTGTAGCCAACAGCCCCTGCTCAGGTGTGTTTTGCTGCTTCCAGCACTGCCAAGGGCCCACTTTCAAATGCCATTGCTGCACTGCCTGGCAGCCACTCTGCCATCCCCAGATGACAAGAAATCCTCTAATGCACCCTCTCAAGCCCATGTGCATCTTGAGACACGTGAAGATCTGTTGCAGCTCCTCTACTGATAAAAAGTGAGCTCTAATGAGAAAGCACACATCAGTACTTCCCACCCAACCCCACCCCATGCCCTAGCAATACCTCAGTTACACTTTTAATATTGGGATGGGAATGATCGTTGCAATCAGCCATTTCCAGCCCTTTTCTGGAATTCTTTGCAGTAGTGATGTTCTGTCTCTTCCTGCTCTTGGAGATGTCCTTGTTGTTTACTCATGGCACCCAGCCTAGGGACTGCAGTCATGTGCTCGACATATGTACCATACTTGTGTAAGCACTTGCTAGAAAAGGTAAGACTGTTGTCACCCTCGTGGGAACAGCCAGCTTCTGATAGTGTTCTGATTTTAATCCAGTGACACCTCAAACTTAAAAGGCTGTTGCAGGCTCACTTCCTCATTCAGCTGGAGGTAGCAGAATTCCTGCAGCAGAGGGGCAACCTCTTACATTTCTCATGCATTCAGAGTAGAAAAAAAGTAAGGGGGAGGGCAGTTTGTTCAGGTTTTTGGAGACGCTGTCACAGAACTACAGGTGGTAGTGTCACACACACTACCACCACTTTCTTCTGGTGGTAGTTGGTGCAGCTCAACTCTAGTGTCAGTACACTCATGGTTCTTTGATGCCAGCGTGTTCCAGAAGAACTGTGGCAGGATTCAGGAGACCCTGTAGTTTAGTTTAGTAAATTTGTAATGCTTCCTGAATGTTCAGATCAAAAAACAAAAAACAAAAAAAAAACCAAAAAAAAAAGCATAAAGAAAACCAAACAACTCAACAGGTTCATGTTTCTATTTTAGATTGTCCTTGTTCTCTATTTTGTGCTGTTCCAAACTAGGTGTTTGTTGTTAGGGTGACAAATATGAACATTAAGCAAACCTAGGCCACTGGTGCCTCTTACCAAGGAATATTCCAGATGAATATTTCTATGTTAATTAACTAAATCATGTATCTGCCACTGTTGATGTCTGTATTTTGATTTTTATGTATAGATACATATCTGGAGACTTGTAGATCTGCTTTGGTTTTCTTCAGAATATGATGATTGTTTGGGGGTTGAGTTTTGTTTTGGGGTTTTTTGGTTTTTGGGGTTGGTGTTTTTTGTAAACTTTTTCACAGAGAGATTAAATCATTTCTTCAGGTCACAGTCAGGTCTACCCCTACACAGGTCTGCTCAATATCTTAGATACCAAATTTGTCTGTTTAAGCAGAGTAGGTTTACTGAAATCTAGTCCCTCATCTGTCCACCTAAAAGGTGGACAAACAGCTGTGCCCTTCACATGTGTCATCACAGCACATGGCTGTCACAGTCTTGAAGTCTCCATGTCTGCCTGTTCTTTCTCATGTTCAGTTTCATGGCCAGGGTGGTTGTGAAAGTCAATGCAGAGTTTGTAGATGAAAACACCAAAAAGACATCCCAGAATTGGAGCTGTGACTGGGACCCACCACCAGGAATGGTCAGCCCTAAAATGAAACACAGAAGAGGCAGCTGGTGAGCTAGACTGGAACCACCGCCCTGCCACCACATCCTGCTGGGGAAGGAGTGAGCTTTGTGAGCAGAGTCTGTCCCACTGCAGCCACTAAGCCTACAATTGGCTTAGACAAATTTTCTGTCCCCCCACATAACTGCTGGAGGGAAGGTCATTTTCCCCATCAGCATGTAAAGGTAGCTCCACACTGCAGGTTTCTTGTTCTCCTAAAGAAATGGGCTGTATGGTCTCAATGAGTTGGACTCTCAGACTGTTATAAGCATTTTGCCTCCCCGCTTCCATTAAAATCTGTGACTCCTCTACCAAGCTCTCAAATATATTTTCTGGGAATTTAAAGAAAATGGGCATCTGGGACAGGAGACTGGTAATGATCTCACCAGAGGAAAAGCCATAACATGATACCATCTTTCTAGATAGAGTAGGCCAAGGTTTCGTGTCCAAATTCAGACTCAAAATTTAGGCAACCTGTTCAGCAATCCACCTGCATTCAGGTGAGCTGCATTCTGGCTTTCTGCTCACTGCAAAAACCAGCTGGATCTCCAGTGAACAGGCAGACAATTTGGTGCCCAAACTGAGGTATCTGAGTGTCAAGGTGAATCCCATGCCAGAGGATAAGTGTACTCCAAATTTTGTGTACATAATGAACAAGGCTCCTGTAAGCACAACCCTCATACTCTGTACTGATACCATCACTTGGTCCAAAATTAAAAAGGCTTCATGACACATTTTATCTTGTGCTTATCTCCTCCCCTGGCAAGCTGAGCAAGCTAAGAACAAAACATTCACTCACGTGAAGACGGCCGTTCCCCAGCCAGCAATTGCCGTGAAGATCCGGGGGGGCAGGTCCCTGGAGGGGTTTATGGCATAGCCTGTGTTCAGCCCCATTCCCAGACCAATGCCCAGGACCAGCATACCCGTGAGCATGGGCTGAGCGCCTTTGATGGCCGCGTTGTTTTTCTCATCATGGATGACTAGAACACCCAGGATCAGCATAACTGTCGCTGTAAACTGCAGGAACAGAAAAGGGTCAGGATAGAGAATGGGGAAGGTTGGAAGATCCTGCTCGGGAGAGCAGGAAAGACTTCCCAGAATGAATGCAGATGAAATTCATGGTCTAATCAAGGTAGGAGGTACCCAAATATTACTCTCTCCTCACAAGTGGACTGAAGAAAATTCTTTTCTCAGCAAAAACCTCATCACCAAGACTGATACAAATTCCTCATCAATGTCATCTCTATCTTTCAAGTCAGGGAAATGGGTTATTTTATGTACATTCTATCTGACAGAAGCAGAGCCATAACAAACTGCTCACGAGACAAACTTGATCATCCCTAGAGGAAGTGATGTTTTGTACAGCCTGATTGCAGATATCAGATTCTCACCTAGGAAACTGAATTTCCCATCAGTGACTACATAGCTGGCATTTATAGATCTGCAGTGGCCAGGACATCAAGAAGCACAGTTTTGATAGAGGTGATGACACCTGTCTCTTTATGCTTCAGAAAATGCAGCTGGAGAGACTTGAACTGCTTGCACAGACACCAGGAAAACCAGAAACTGCAGCTTTTGGAAAGGCACTGTAATTCTAATTTGCTTTCTTGTGGATCAAGGACACTGCCTGGTCCACAGGAGGCTGAGGGGATCCACTCCCCACCTCTAGGCTCTTCCACCATCCTCTTTGTCATGCCCAGGCAGGAGTCCAAATCACAGGTTTCCAAAGATTTGCCTTGGAAGTAAATCTTCCTTCTCTGGTGTCTTAGTGCCCCTCAACCCCTGAAGAATCCCTTTCCTATTTCTGGGCATCTGGACACTGTGCTGTAAGCTGGGAATCCACTGCACACAGTCTCAATGGATCTGTTCAAACACAGAGGTTCAGTCCAGGCTGTGCCAGATGTGGAGACAGTCCCAGGCTCTCTGTGCTGGGGTGGGGCAGAACAGCTGCCAAGGAGCATGGAGTGGGGTATAGAATCCAAATAGAGAAGGAACAGTTCAGCCCTGAACCCAGAGGAGATGGCCAGTGATACGGCTCAGCTTCTCACTTCTCACTGCATGCATGGCAGGCAGGGAAGGTGTCTGGAGAGCCCCTGAACCAAGCTGTGGAGCAGCCTACATGTATTAGGCTTTAGGCCAAACCCTTTAGGCTTGCCCAGCCAGCAAGGTGATTTGGATCTTACCTTTCAGGTGCCTGCCTGGATGCTGGGCTCCTTGGGAAAAGAGGTAGTGGTTGTGTCTGTGCATGTAGAGCTGTGGAGACCTGTAGCAGCCCTGCAGCAGCACCTGCAACCACCCACCTTCTCCTAGCACACCACAGCCGTTCCCACTGACCTCTGTGAAGAAGGCTCCCTGCAAGGATACATTGGGAGCAGGGTAAGTAGAGAAGATCATCGCTGTGGCAGTTGGTCCTGACACTGTAAGGTTTCCTTGGGTGTAGTCATAAATAGCATCTAGGAGAAGTGGTAATTATGGAAGTTAGCATTCATCCCACAGGACACATACACAAGTCCACCTGTTGCAGCCAGCACAGACATCAGGGAGAAGGGAGGCAGTGGAAGATGTGATGGAGGTGACACACTCCTCACAGAGCATGATCTCACCAATATCTGTTACGTGCAGACTTTGGTCTGAAGTCACTTCCTTACACCTGCCAGCTCCCTGGAGCCCAGGGTAGCCTGGATTGTCTGGATACACTGGAGGCCTCCAGCCCTCTGGCCCTCAGAGACCAAGACATGCTAGGGGCAACAGGTAGTGGATCCTCTGCTCACAACTCAAAACCCCCCATGGCTGCAAACCTGTGTTCCACAGAGCATCAGAGGCCCCCAGAGCTCCAGAGGCACCTAATTCCTGGTAGTTCATGTAAATAAAGCCCCTGCAGACCTGAAAACAAAATGCTGACAAAATGCAGCCACTGTTCTTCTGCTGAAGACAGCTCTTGGAAGTGGGAATGCCCAGCTCTCCAGGAGCTCTGTATCCTTTCCAGAGGTATATCTGGGACCTGCTCTGAACTTGAGCTGTGGTCTGTCCCACAAGCCAGGAACTTGCCTTCCTCACCCAGAAATCACACTGGGTACTGTAAAAGGACATACATTGACAACACTATGAGCTGACTCAAATTATCCTTTCAGCAACCTCTGTGATAAAAGACACAACCCTACCATAGTAGACAGCAAAGACGGTGGCTGCTGCCATAAAGGAACCCAGGAACTGGCCGATTATATAAGCTGTAAGTGTTGTCCAGGAGATATTCCCTAAAACGCATTGTGTAATGGTGATGGCGGCATTCAGATGAGCTCCTGCAAAAATCACAGAAAAAGAGAGGCTTCAACACTGATGCAGCTGTTTTGGAACATGTGATGTGGTAGATGCACCATCCCTAGAAACATTCAAAGCCAGATTGGACAGGGCTCTGAGCAACCTGCACTAGTTGATGTTTCTGCTCATTGCAGGCCAGTTGGACTGGATGAACTTGAAAGGTGTCTTCCAACTCAAATTATTCTTTGGTTCTGTGCCCCATTCCCCACAGCAATCAGCCAGACACTGACCCAGAACAGCAAGAATCTCTCAGGTCAGGGTCTTACTCCTGCACAGACACAAAATTAACCTTTCTGTGGATACAATTTCTGAACCTGAGAGATTTCTAGCTCTCAGGGGCTGATTGTTCCCAAGGGAAAGTCTTTGGGAACTGTCTTACTTAAGGACTGTTTGTGTCAATAAGGTTTTACTCTCCCAAAACAAGACACAGATGTTCTGAGTGTTTTCTCTCTTGTCCTACCAATGGGATGAGGGAGGTGTTGTTCCGTCAACCAGTCAGGGTGTGAATTCATGTTGTAAATATTGGCTTTTCACAATTATTCTGATAAATATATATTATATGCTTTCACTATATTCTTTTCCCTCTTAGCAAGTTATAGGCTTAGATAGGAATTCTGAATGGTAAGGATATGTTTCATCCGGACAAGGCAAGACAATGGGAGGTTCAAGCTGTGGAAAACAGGCTATTATCAGCAGCAGGAAATGGAGAGCAAACTGTTATCAAAAAGCCGGTACCAGGACGTGGGCAGGGGGGAAAGATAAGCCCAGCTGCCCTCAGAAGAAGGATGAGGGGCCCAGACCCTTATCAACAACTGACCATCTGCAGAAAAAAGGAAACCAGACTCCAAAAGAATGCTGACCAGCTAAAATAATGATGACCAGCAAAAAAATTATGCTGACCAGCAGAAAATGAGACTGTGCAAGAGCATGATCCAAGAAGGCGGAACCAGGGAGGGGACATGCTTGAATATGCATTAACCCCTCACAGCAAGGATGGGATAAAAGGGGTATCCCTAAGATACCAGGTGTGTTCCTGGCAAGGCGCCAGGGCACCCGGCCATTTTAACCCTTTGCTTTATTTCTTATGTCTCCTAATTGTCTTTTATTTATATTAAATTCTTTTTATAATTTATTAAGTGAATCTCGTTTTTAAGAAGGGTAACTTGGATCAGAACACCTTATAAGAAAGGGCAGTAAACCCCAAAATAAAGGCTTTACCTCATGAACCTCTGGTTGCTGTGTGTAATATTCAAACCCTTCATTCTATACTTCATGTCTTGTAGCGACGTCTGGTGCCCAACAGGGATTCAGCATCAAGACTATGGCAACCGAGGAGAGGTAAAATCACCCCCACCCACCCTAGAAAAATGGGGTTCAGTCCAGTGGCTTCTGTCTGCCATTTTTTCCTTTTGCTGGAGAATTCTTCCCAGTGAGCTGAAAGTATGCCAGTGGCTGCTTTAGCCCCAGAGGAGGAGATCATCCTGGATTTATGGCCGGACATTCTCTACAGACAGGATCTGGACATTTCTGAAGCAGATATTAATGCTTCATATTTATGGGGGAAAGAACATGGATTTTTTCCAACTGTCATTGATGCACTGTTGAAAAATCATTGGCAGAGCTTAGGTGATGTGATACCAACTGGTGCTGTTGGTAAGAAAGCAAAACTGCTCCACCCTTGGAAGAGATTCATGATTGTAATAGAAGCCGTGAGCTCCAGAGCCTTGTCTTGCGACGTCTCAGAGGTTGGGTCCGAAGGAGGAGACTGGTCTGATCCAGAAGCCGCTCTGCTGGTGTATAATTCACGGGAGACAGCATCGAACTTGGACCAGAACTGCCTAGAGGGAATATTTTCCCCAACCCCATCCCCTTGCGAGTCCAGCCTGGGGGTTCGTGCTCTTTTGTCCGAGTCACACGGGATGGGTGACCGGCGGGAGGGGGAAGCAGGAGATTCGACTAGTGAAAACCACCCCTCGCCCGGGGCTCGGGAAACCGCGGGATGGAGAGGAAGCAAGCATCCTCCAAGCGTTTCCTACGATGGAGGGAGCACAAGTGGCTCCTGATCCACCGGCAGTGGCGGCAGGGCCGCTAGGACCCCTCTCTGTGGTGTGCATGAATTGTGGCATTGCTCCTCTGGTCCCTTTCCCTCGGCCAGACGCCGCGGGCACAGGGAATGGCGGGATTTCATCCGCTCCCCAAGCACAACTGGGGGGCGGCCCCTCCGCGCCTGCACCGGCTCCGGCCGGCGCAGTCAGGCAATTGATCGATTTAATGCCCGAAGGAGACGGTGTGGCCCCGCTCTAACCTGCGTGGACTGGTTCGTCGCTGCCTCCCACAGAGCCCCTTCATTCAGAAGGGGCCGGCGGTGCGGCCCAAGCGGGAACAGTGGCGCAGGTCCGGCCGCCGCGCCCACAGGGGCTGACGGGATGGGCTCCGCTCCCACCGCAGGCGGAGGTGCCGGCCCTGGCCTGGCTGTGTACAGCACGGCGGCTCGGCCAGCACTGCGATCCCCTGCAGCCCCCCCGCAAGCGGCACACCGGCCACCGCAGCCAGCACAGGTCCTCTGTTGGACCCAGGCTCCCCCGAGCCCCCCCTGCCAGCGTGGCGGCGCCAGGGGCTGACAGGGGTGACGCTGCCCAGAGGAACGGCGCCACAGCTCTTGTGAGCTCCACCGCCTTCCCGGTGCCCCGTCCCTCCTGCAAGCAGGACTCGAATGCCAGAGCTGCCCCAGATCCGGCGGCTGGCGCCATGGGGGCCGCCTCCCCGGGTACCGTGGGTGTCGGAACAGAGGCGTCTGAACCTCCCTTATTTACCAAAGGGGCTCGCAGTGACGCTGGCTCTTCGGGGCAAGTCTCTGCTCGGAGTGGAGGACATGGAGACGGTCCCAACTCCAGCGCCCATTGGGCGCTTCCCCCATGCCAGGTCACAGTGCATCCCAGAGATCCCAGACGGTTTTGGGACAAGGTCAAAGAAAAAGCCTTGGAGATGGGAGATTGGGAGTTCCTTGAATGATTATGGGGAACTGGAGATAGTTTTCCTGATTTTTCAGATTCTGCCAAGAACAGTCTGGTACAGGAGAGGCAAGCTCCAGCCAGCTGCCTTTCTGTGCTCCTGTGACATCTAAGGGGCAAGATCAAAGAGATACTGTGACTTCACAAGGAGGCCTTCATGCTTTTCCAGTGGTTAAGGAAAATCCTCAAACAGGGCTGCCTAATACGCATCAAGTTATATCCACTAAAGCTGTGATGGGCATTAGAGACAAGGTTGCAAAATATGGACTGGGGCCTCAGGAGATAATGCAGATGATTTGCATTATTAACTCTGAGTCACTGACATTAATAACATTAAGCACCTTGCTCAAGTGTTATTTCAGTCTGTCCAGTTTGAAGTCTTTGAAGCCAATTGGAGTCAGTTGGCCACGAAAGTAGCTGGATGTAATAGCTGTCTCACCATGACCCTAGGTATGAGGTTGGAAGTGATCTATTGACAGGGGTTGGAAATTTTTCTGACCTTGATTTCCAGGTTACATTCCATTCACAGATGCTGGATCAATGCCAGAAGACAGGCATTGCATCTCTGATTAAAACCATAGAGTTGTCAGCTCCAAAGCAGAAGTTCGCTATTGTAGTCCAAGGGACAAAGGAACCTTATATGCAGTTTGTTGAAAAACTCTCTGCATCTTTGGAGAAGCAGGTGGACAACCCTGCTTTGAGAAGGCTACTGGTCACACAGTTGGCAAGAAGCAATGCCAGTGATGACTGCAGGAGGGTAATAGAGGCTCTCCCAGGTGATCCATCTTCACCAGAGATGGTTCAGGGTTGTGGCCTAGTAGGCACCACAGATTATAAGATGATTGCCTTGGCTACTGCCTTACCAGCATCCTTGAAAGGGCCAAAGGGTAAGCAGCAGAAGCAGGTGACAGCACAAGCCACCAAAAAGCAGGGGAAACAAGCACAAAGGGAAAGCTCCCTCGTTTCTGTGCAGTCGGTGTGGAAAGCCAAACCACGCTGCAGAGCACAAAGTTTTCAAAGTTTGCACATTGCAGAGCACAGCAAAGTTTGATGCTAAGGGCCAGCCTTTGGCAGATCAGGGAAACGCAAAGCTGAGCGCCTCAGAAAAATGCGCTCAGACATAAGCCTTTCCCCAGGTCCTGAAGCTGATGCAGGCTTACTCAGCCAGCTTGTGGCCAGCACCCATGACTCAGCCGGACTTGATGTCTGTACAGCAGCAGCAGTAGTCCTGAACTCTTGCAAAGTGCATAGAGTTCCTTCGGATGCCTTTGGACCCTTGGGGGAGGGTAAAAGTGGGAAGGTCAAGTGCCACCCTTCAGGGTATCATTGTGCATCTGGGACTTGCTGATTATTTGGGACAGATTTCTGCTATGGTTTCCACGCCCACCCCTCCCCTCACCATTACCGAGAAAACACACATTGCTCAACTTGTGCCTTTCAACTCCTGTTTCCAGGGCTGCAGACCAAGGGGACGTTTGCTTTGAATCAACTGGACCACCTCAGGTGTACTGGACTGCAGCCCTGACTGACGAAAGGCCTGAGATGTGGAGTACCCTGTGCCTCCGTGGCACCACCCCACCAGAGATCCACCTGCAAGGCCTGATCGACACAGGTGCCAAGTCACCATCCTGGCCTCCTCTGTGTGGCCTCCGGAGTGGCCTCTGGATCCTGAGGAGTCAACTGTCACAGGACTGGGGGAAGTGGCCAAATGTTTTGTCAGCCAGCAGCCTGTGCTGATCACGAACTCAGAGGTACAGTCTGTTATGGTTCGGACTTACGTCACCACAGCTACTGCTAACCTCTGGGGGCGGGATGTACTGGCGGCTTGGGGGGTTTGGATCGGGACAGATTTTTAATGCAGACCACTGCGACGGAGGGCGCACAGTGCCCCACACCTCCCTTACAGGGGCATGGGGATGAACCCATCTGGGAAACTCAGTGGTCCCTCCAAAAAGAAAATGCAGTCACCTTTCAAGATTTGGTTCAAGAGCAAGTTACAAGCTTTACCAATCTGCCAGATTTCATGGCATAAGATGATGCCAGGGCTGACAAATTGGCTAACCCTGCATGGGTAGCACCTCAGCCTGATGTGCTAGCATAGGCCAGAGCATCACATGGATTCTTTCATCAAAATGCACATACATTGCCAAAGCAGCTTCATTTGACTCCAGCTGAGGCTAGTGACATTGTCAATTCCTGTGATGACTGTCACGCACTTGATCCGCCTTTACCAACGGACATACACCCCAGAGGTCTCAAGGTCTAGGAAATTTGGCAAACAGATGTTACCCAAATTGCTGAATTCAGCAGGGTCAAGTATGTGCATGCTGACAAGTATGTGTCTGTTGACACTTTCTCCTCTGCAATGTGGGCTTCTGCTCACACTGGAGTTAAAACGTGCGATGTCATTGCCTATTGGAGGCAGGCTTTTGCCATGCTCGGGATACCTTCTACTGTGAAAACCAGTTATGGCCCTGCTTACACCTCACAGAAAGTGCAGCAGTTTATGCAATTGTGGGGTTTCACACAAATTTGGCATTCGGCATTCAGCATTCTCCGATGGGCCAAGCCATTGTTGTACCATTGTGCTCATGGTACTCTGAAGCATGTTCTTCAAAAACAAAAACAGGGACTGCAGGATGAAACCCTGCAAAGTCGATTGGCAAAACCTTTGTATACGATAAATCACCTTACGGTGCCACAGAATTCAAATAACCCGGTCATCTTGAACCATCGCCTTACTTTACAGGCTTCAGGAGAGACACATCAGCCCTGAGCGAAAGTTCAGGTGTGAAATTTAACCACCAAGCAGTGGGAAGGCCTGTTTGAACTTACGGCTTCGGGTCATGGGTATGCATGTGTATCCACAGATACTGGGGTGCACTGGGTACCTACAAAGTGTGTCCATCCTGACCTGCAATCACAAAGGCAGAACTGAGCCAACCGGCAAACCACAGGCCATGACCAGAATGAAGGTCATCAAGTGGAGGAACCTTCAAGTGATGACACAGATGCAGAAAATGCGAGTGATCGCTCGGACGGTCCCTCTACAAGCAGGCGTTAAGCATCTTTCTCATTTTTCTTTTTTTTCTTTTTTTTTAATAGGAAGAAAGGGTGAGATGTGGATACAATTTCTGAACCTGAGAGAATTTCAAGCTCTCAGGGGCTGATTGTTCCCAAGGGAAAGTCTTTGGGAAGTGTATTTCTCAAGGACTGTTTGTGTCAATAAGGTTTTACTTTCCCAAAACAAGACACAGATGTTCGGAGAGTGTTTTCTCTCTTGTCCCACCAATGGGATGAGGGAGGTATTGCTCCTTCAACCAGTCAGGGTAACCTGGATCAGAACAACTTTTAAAAAAGGGTAGAAAACTCCAAAATAAAGGCTTTGCCTCATGAACCTCCAGTTGCTCTGTTTAATATTCGAACCCTTCTATACTTCATGTCTTCTAGAAACACCTTTCTCTCTTGACAGATGAGGCGTGCTGGTCAAAGAGCTCCTAGCTAGCCTTCTAAAAATTCTGTAGACCACAGGCTGCCTCCAGAGAATAGGTCATCTCACCTGTCAGATATACCTCTCTTGTGATGGCATGGGTTTCCCTATGAGACTCTCAATGAGCTTCTCCCTGCTGAGCTTAAATAGAGCCCGTACTTCAGCAGATTTTGAGTAGCTGCAGGTAGATGAGAGCCTGTGTTTTGATGGGACACTTTCTTTGGAGAAGGCTGGTATCACAATGGTGCTTTTGAAGACTAAATGGGTCTGGGTCTCATGCCCTTGGTGCAAACTACATGTGTTCTCCAGGCCTTGTGTCCCCAGGAGTCTAAAGAAAATATTTATTTTTCCTGCCTAATAGGTACCAACTTTGAGGGTCAGTAAACATTCCAGTCTTCATGACCATCTTCTACTCCAGACTCCAAAAGGGGTAAGATGCAGACACCCATCATTTTATCAAACAGGACAGAGTGAAGTGGAAGTGCATGTACCACTTGCTACAGTCCAACAACCACAACTGGAATGGGGACAGATCACTTCTTAGACCCTCTGCTCTTTTGTGGGTATGGCCAGCTCTTTCAAAGGTCATAAAAAGCATCTTGTCACACAGATGAAGCTAAATTACTATGTCAGGAAGGTATGAAATTTGTTTTGTAACGATACTCTTGCTGGCGGAGCTGAGATCCCTTCTGTACTGCCCTCTGCCCTCAACAGATCAGCTCCTTCTCACAAGTCACTTGGGACTACAGGACATACTTTCCTCAGTCCACTTTCCCCAGGCTGTTTCCACCAGCTCCAAAAGGACAAGAAAATCAAGAGCTAACTGCTCCTGACTGCTCACATGGAAAATTCTTCCTTTCCAAGCCAGCCCCAGGTTTGGACCTCTGTCTAGTCCAACAGTTCAAGAGCAAGGAGTTGCTTTAATTTTCTGCCCATTAGGGCCCTTAAAGTTTTCTCTTGGTGCAAATGAATGCAGAAATTGCAGAAGGCAAAGGTAGTGCTCTTGTCATTTGAGGGATGCCACCCTATGGTCCCCAGACACCACTTCCTGAGTTCATGTGGGGCATTTGTGCATGGGTGTAAGTGATAGGGAGAAAATTTGCATACCATTCCTTTTGCAGCATCAGCAGTAAGCTCTCCTTTGCAATAAATTATTTACTTCCCCATGGTCGTATCAGCAGCAGGTTTTGGGAGCTCCCTGTCTCCTTGGGCCATGCTGGCACGTCCCAAATGGGGGAGCTGCTGAAACCTGGCTCTGTTGGCCACAACAGAAGGGGCTGGCCAGACTTCCCTCTCCCTGTCCCATTTGCCTGGTCACAACTCAGAACACAAGTTTGGGGTCAGTATTCTGTACGTATGCTGTGCATGCCTCATCCCTGGCCTCTCCTGCTTTGCTTGTCTAGGGACTCTAGGACTGCTTTTTTTCAGGTGAGGGCACTTCCAATGCCATAACACACCCCTCCACTCCTGTCCACAATTCACATGGCCTTTATGGAACATGGATATATGTCTGATATAAGTGCTGCTCACCAGATATTCCTCCAGCCGCATAGACGCCCAAGGTAGCACCAATCCCAAATGCCATATTGATGCTCAGATACTGACCATTGTTTCCTCTTCCCAATACCACTTGTGCCACAGAAGATAAGCCAAAAACCTGTGTAAAACAAAAGAGAGAAAGGAGTGTTAAAAGTATTGTTGTTGTAGTAGATTGGGTTCTTTGCTATTTTTTTCTACAAAAGTAATGAGCTCCCAAAGACAGGAAGTCTCTAAGATGACTATGGTCAGAATACAAAGAACAACCTTGCCCTACAAAAATTGAAGTGATACCTGAGATTGGTATCCATCAAACAAAACTAGGCACTCTGATTACAGTTGGGTATGGATAGACAAACCCCAAACACTCACACCAAGGGCTGGGGCTCAGTGGGGGTCATTTACACAGACACACTGCAGCTGCCTCTACCTGAAACCAGGGACATGAACTGGGGGAGCATCACCATGGACCACTGAGACATAACCTCAAAGATGGATGGGAGGAGGGTGTGCAAATTCTTACTGTCCTTCTTTTCCTGGTGTGGAATTTATTGACTAAATATGTGGTTTGGGCAGCACACAGCTATTTGCCAAACTCAACTCTAATTTTGGTAACATTCCAGCTAAAGACAAGAAAGGAAATTCTGGTTTAACTTTTCTGCCCAACACATATATTTTCAGTTTGGAAACAGCCAAAGCTTCAGTGGTTTTTTTAGTGGCTAAAGGAGAACCAGTGGAAAAAAAAAAAACTAAAGGTAAACACTCCAGCAGGAAAACACATATTCAAGACATTGCTCTGTCCTGAGAGAATTCTATTTCATGCTTTTGATGTGGTAAGAGTGTAAAAATCAGTTCTTTGCATGCTCTTAACACTGAAATCTGGAGAAGGACAAGGCATCTCTTGAGGTTTCTGTCTCCTAAACCACTAAGGGTTTGGAAAGTGTATCCTGTTCCTTGGACTGCATTGATGTTTCTCCAAGGTGACATGTATTTCAAAGACAAGAAAGTCAGTATGTTCTCCAACACATAAACTTCTGCTTTGGCTTGTGCTGTTGAACTGTGATTTTTTTTCTGGCTATTCTGCCTGCATCCAGATTTTATCTCATGTGTCTGCTTACCCTCATTTCTTCCAGACATCAACCTGGTCCCCAGAGATGATGCTGCTCTTATCTCTCTTGTAGGCACAGACCACACTCTGCACAGAGCTACAGCCCCCACAGTGTGAGCCCTTCTCACTCTGCCTCAGCGAAACTCCCCAGAAACAGTTTGTGATGTCCCCTTAACATCTGCAAATTAGACAAATTCTATATATTCATCTGTGATTTTTCCAAAGCCAGATACAAGAGACAACAAATATGTAAGGCACAGGTTTTGCAGGAGAGCACATAGGTGCAGAGACAGGGTTGCAGGGGAGGAGACATGACTGTGCATAAACAGCACTGAAAAAGCCCCACAAGATAGGACACAGAATCTGTTTTTCAGCACAGATACAAACTTCTGTTTTCTTCCTGTATCCTCACAGTTCCAAAACATCATTTCTTTTAATCCCTTCTTCCCTAGTCCGTGCTCTACTTAGTCCTGCTGCCTGGTTCCTCTTACCCATATTGCCTGTCCATTAAGCTGAGAGGCCCTGGGAGTGTTATTGTCCAAATAACAGCCATTCAGGCATCCTGGAGGTGCATCCAGACCACTGCCTATTGCACTGAGGGCCGAGGTGCTTCTGAAGAGTTGTGTGCTGGATGCTTTATTCTGATGGTGGATGCTGCTTTTCTTGTTGGGGCACATGCGCAGTGCCCTCCTTTTCTTTCTTCCCTTGCATGGATCAGTGAAGGAAGAGCCCGTGTGAACTGCAGGCTGAAAAATCTGCCTTGTTCAGAGTGCAGAGTAAAGAGTCCACCTCATACTGCTTCCTTGCCAGGGCAACCCTGAAGCTGTTCTTTATCACCTGGGAACTTCTACCATCAAATTGCAGAGAACGGAAAAAGTAAAATGGTTTGCTAAGCTGCTGCAGAGGAGTCATAGATGTCTGTACTCTGACTTACTATGAGTGCAAAACTACCTGGGAGTGAAATTCAAAGAGCTGGATGTGCAAAATTACATGATAAAAAGCAACCATGCACTGCACAGGGAGCTGTTGCCCTTGGAAATGAGCGCCTTTCTTGGTACAGAAAGCTGTGTCAAAAGGTCCCTATGCTTACGCAAATCTTAATTTCTTCCTCTTTAAATCTCCAAATGCAAGTTATTTAGGTTATGCCCAACCTTTGCATGGTAGCCTCTGTCCAGTCTAAAGTGTCTCAGCCCAGGCTTAAGTCCAGGTGTAGCAGAGTGGCACAGATAGATACGGGGCCCTTTCCAGAGGGAGCATCTCATTCTGCTCTGTTGATCAAGCACTCATAGTTTCTGGTCCCAGTGGATACTCCACCCCTACCAGCCCCCCACAGTGACTGCAAAAACTTCCTAATCCTCTACCCAAACATTTTTGAAGCAGTCCAGGAGCTCAAACCCACTTAATTACTTCTTTGTGAAACAGAACCCTCAGGCAAGGGGGCAGTTTATGTATGATTTACATAAGCACTGTTCGATTGGCAGCAAGAAAATCAAAAGTGAAATGCTGGCATGCTTCACACCCTGTAATTACATTTCTTAATGGTGGGTTGTGGTCCTGGAGAACTTCTCCAGAAAGTTCATTACTCTGGCAACCCCGAGGGGAAGGTGGATGAACGCTGTTTCTATTTTGCAGCAGCTGTCAGTGATAGAAGAGTCCGGATCTGTTCCCTCGACCTGTTCAGATCCCCCCCTCACCTTACCCCACCCCACCCCCCCAAACTACACCACACCTCTGGCACAGCAGGAGGAAAAGCCTCCATTCACTGTATGGGATCTTCCAGGGGGTGTGGCACAAGCATTGTAGACACTACTCTTTGATATAATTCCCAAACTCTTCCTCAGTTTTCTCCTAGAAGAGAACTGAAACAGCAGCATCTCCAGAGAACGGCAGTGGAGCTAGGGAAGGGTCGACAGGAGCATAAGTCTGATGAGGAGCAGGTGCAGGAGCTTGGAATGTTGAGCCGGGAGAAAAGGAGGCTCAGGGAGGACCTGATCACTCTCTCCAGCTCCCTGATGGGGGAGTGTAGCCGGGGGGAGCTGCTCTCTTCTCCCGTGTAACAAGTGACAGGGCAAAAGGAAATTACCTCAAATTGTGCCAGGGGGGGATTAGATTGGATATTAGGAAAATTCTGTTCACCAGTGGGGTTTCAAGCATTGAAATAGGCTGCCCAGGGAAATGGTAGGTTTACAGATATTAAATATATATAATATCTTGGAGGTATTTAAAAGGCACACAGATATGGCACTTAGGGACATGGTTTAGTGGTGCCTCCAAAGTGCTGGGTTAATGCTTGAACTCTGAAAGGTCTTTCCCAACCTAAATGATTCTGTGATATTTTAATTCTATCCCAACCTACTTCTCTTTCTCCCAGCATCCATCACTCTTTCCCCGCGTTACTTTTTTGCTCCAGAAGGTTTTTGGCTGATGGTCTGCCTGCAGGGAAACTGCCACCCCACTAAAGCAGAGGGGTGAGCAGTAGCAATCAACCACTGGGCAACCCTGAGGATGTGGCAGGAAACCACTGACCTTACAAATCGCTGCCTTAAATGGCTGAACATGCACACACACACGCACACACATGCACAGACTCCTCCTTACCATGAGGATGAATGTTCCCAGTGCTTCTGCCAGCATCTCTCTTATGGTACTGTTACGAATCCTGAACACCTTCCTAGTCTTCTCCAATATTGTCATCCTCGCCTTCTCAAGGCTGCTCTTGTGCTCCTGTTGTGACAGCACACTTCATTGCACTGAGCCAGGTTACCCTTTGAAACTTGGCACCTTTTCCTCACCCCCAGACACCTTCCCTCCCTTGGTTAACAATGAACAAGCCAATAAAGCAGCAGCTAGCTTCAAAGTCTTCCCCCCTTCCCCCCCTCCCCCATATGCCAACCTATAAAAGCTGTATGGTAGGGATGCAATATTTCTGTTAGGAGGGCATTGGTGACACTGTGCCTCTGCCCAGGAGAGCCTAACCCCAAAAGAGCGGAGCTGTCTATAGCCTTGATGTGCTCCTGGAGCCTGTCTTTCTCCTTAACCTTTTCTACAAGAACTGAAGAGGAATTTTGGCTCTGCGCTGCATTGTAACCCATTGACTGGTGGTTTGGTTCTGGTTTTTTAATCAGATTGAATTGGGACCGTTTGCCTGTGCAGGATTATTTGGATGCTTCTTCTGCAGCAAGGATGCTCTGCCTGGAGCTGGTGTGCTCTGCTGTGTGCAGCTGGGAAGAGCACAATGCATTGCTTCAGGTGGAATATTTGTTCTTGTTGAATGCACTTGTGTCTGCAGGTGCCATCACATTCATGGAGAGCCTTGTACCAGCCATCCTGTCTATCCTCTCATATGGGGCAAGGAGAAACCAATCTCAGCAATGGTCTCAAGAGATCTTCCTGGCTTCTTACCCAGCTGCCAGACCAGAACCATTGCTGTCCTGATTCCTCCTCCATCTCCTCATTCCCTCTGCCTATCTCCCTGCTCACCAGGCTCTCTTACCTTTCCACGGTGAAAAGGTTTTAATACCTTTGATTAATCATGAAAAAACTTATATCCACTGAGCACTCAAGACCTTTTTCCTTGAGCCTTTTCTGGTTCTTTGCTGGTTCTCTTCGCCTCCCTCTCAACCTGCTGCAGCTTCTTAGTGTGGCTCTGGAGGGAACAGCCCTGAAGAGGTATCAGCAGCTGCCCTGATGGGGACACAGTGCTCTGCTCATTCTGGCCCTGGCCTTGCTTCACTCTCCTCTACTGCATGGCAAAATTTCATGAGCTTTTCTTTCACCCACAGGGCACTCAGCAGCTGTATTGGAAGAACCTGGGAAGCTGATTCTCCTCTTCGCTCCATAGATGACTGTATGTCTTGTGGCAGGGAGAGTTTTATGGACTAGGGTGATCCCTCCTCCAGTGACAGATTAGCTATTGACCTCAGTGCACGCCTGGCTAAATATGCAGTAAATTACTAGTCTGTCTCTGATACTGAGGATCATTTAACTATGATGGATGATAATCATATTGATTGCAAGGGTGTTTCTACATCATTTTTCTAGGTGGGAAGGTTTTTGTCCTGTGGGTCTATGACCTATGCTATAGCACAGAATAAATCTTTCTAGGTCACTGCATTCTCTGCCATGCAAATATTTATTGGTGGAGCACGAGCCATGGGTCCTGGAGCACCAGGGTGGGGTGGTGACAAGACCCTCAGGTTTCTTCTGCACATGGTGATTTCCAGCTGACATTACATGTCACCTGAGATCCTTGTGTCCTTGTGCTGGAGATCTCACATCTGAGCCTTTCTCAGATGGATAAGGTATGAGTGGATCAGTAACATCCACAACTGGACCTACAACTTTTATTTTCCCCTAAATCTCAGGGAGCCTTCCAGGTGGATTCCTTCCTTCTGGGCAAACAGTGAAGCTGCTAGGTATTTGATAGGCTTTGTCTCCTGCATTCAGGGTTCTATGATTCTGATTTGGGCTGAAAAATGGACAGATACTTTCTGGGAACACTGGGTTCCCATAGACTTACAGTCTTCTCAGGGAAAAACACAATCCCAGTTTGCAATAGGAATCTTTGGTTTGGTGATTGTATTTGCAACATAATTCCCAATATTAACACCAAACCGTGTAAAATTCCAGCAGCCTTCTAGGAGATTGTCTTTTTGTACAGATCATTCCACAAGATGGCACTGAGACATTAATTTCTCCCTTTAAGATATTCAGAGGGGCTCCTCTGTTGGCTGCTGAAAATGTGAGAATCCTTTAATTTTGGGGTTCTGCTGACCATTTTTAGATATTAAAGTGACCTGCTACTGTTCAAGGACTGTAAAAATAAAAAAACCATCACCTTTCCAAAGATCATGTAGGTCAGCACACCTCTGCTCTGCAAGTACACAAACCCAAAGTGTGTGAACCTGTGCCTGAGTTTATTACAAGCGGAGAAAAACAGGCAGCTCCAAAGGGCAATTCTTCCTCACCTAAAATAAGCACCTGAGGCCTAATATATGAATCATGCTAGATACTGGCACTTTCCCTCCAGTGTCTGCACACAGACATGGAGTCACGGGCTCCAACGTGCACCCCTACGAGTGCCAGGTGGGCTGGACTGCTCCTTCTCCCTGCATCCAGACATGGTGATCTTGAGCAAGTGAAAGCCAAGTGAGTCAGCCAAGGGCTGGATTGCAAATATCTTCTTGTTTCTCAACAGCAACCTGTTTGTACTTGCTTGGTTTCAGTTACCCTTAGGGCTGACGAGGATCTCCAGGGTCACTAAATACAGTCCCCTTCTGACACAGTCAGCCACACCATACCTGCCCTTTGGTGACCTGGCCACTCTGCATTTTCATGGTAGATGATTGTTGCCCAACTCCTTCTGTTGTACTCTTACCAGAATTTGCTGCTCTGAAGATTAGACACTTTCCTCTAATTTTCAGCCAAATTCTCAAAGTCATTTGTTCATGTGCAGCATTAGCCCATCACAGTCATGAGCTACCTTACTTCTTGTGGGTGTTATCACTTAAAGTGTTCCTATAAGGTTTGTTAAAAAGCATTGGCTGCTCATGCTCAGCTCCATACAGCCTTCTAATATCCTCACAGGTTGAAACTTCACTCAACATTGGCCATACAATGATTTTGCCATGTTTTCCACTGCACATTAAGCAGCCACCTGCTGAACCAAACCCATTTTCCTCCTCAACACAGGTGTGCTTTCTGTACTACTAATAGAAGTCTCCATTTGGAAAGGAAAGATTTGGCGAGATCCACTAACAGTTCTGGTGTTGGTACCCATGGCAATGAAGAACCAGGAGAACAATGCCCCTGGGTGCTGCAAGAAGAGCCCTGGGAAGAATGACTCCCCAAGCACTCCAGGGCATTCTGCAAGGAATAACTTCTCTGACTCAATTTGACACTGCACATGCTTCCTATGCACCCAGGAGCTCATTTATCTCTTAATTGGGCTAATCAGCAGGTGGAACACTGCTACTCCATTCACTTCAGCCCTGCTGGTGAAGCATTTTCTCCCCAGAGGCCAAAGACAAGCATAAACAGACAGCTGAACAGAGGAGCTGCTCACTGCAGACAAGAACAGTTTGTTCCTCAATCAGACCAAATGAACAGGGCACCAAAGTATCTCCAGTGCCCTTCAGAAAGCAAGACCCAATCAGAGAGATCATAACAACACTGGTATGACCTTCACTGTCTGGATAGACCCTGTTTGACATAACCTAGAGCACCTGCTCCCTATGGTCTCATGTTCAACACTCATGGTCTGTCTCCTTTTTTATGTGTGGCAGGCACCAAGAGAGTCTCACACACCCCACATGTCTCTCAGCAGATGTCTTTGCTGTCTGTACTGCCATCCCCCTCTCCATTCCCAGGATACTGGCCTCCACAGCCTTTCAGCTCACCCGTTGTCCCTTTCCCTGAAGCCAGCCAAAAGGTCATCACCTGCACATACGGCTCTTCCATGAAACCACACCTGCTCCTGTCATGATGGACACAAGTGGGAGGGTCAGATGGAGAGATGTGGTGGTTCATGGGTGGGGTCTTCTCCTGGGCAAGGTGCTGCCCCAGGCTGCTACAGCTACTAGGCTGCTACAGCTACAGGGCTGGTACAGCTACAGGGCTGCTCAGACAGAGGTAATCAATGAGGTGATGCTTCCAGCAGGAGCAGAATTACTAGGCTTTGTTTGTCTTTAGGGGCAGAGCAGGGCTCTCTGTGACAGGGTTGCCAGGGGTGGCCCTGGCCTCATTGTTGAGCAACAGCGTGGAACCCTCCTGATCACCAGGAACCCATCCACCCCATGCTGGGCCACATTCCTCCTGCCCTTGTCAGACTTATGAGACAGGATGAAGTGATTCTTAGATGGAGCAAAGCATGATGGTTTTTGAGGCACCCACCAGCTTGGATCTGTGAAAAGACCTGGAAAGTCTCCCCTACCCACAAATATTTAACAGAGAGTGAAATGGAGGCACAGATCAGCTCATAGAATCATAGAATGTCAAGGATTAGAAGGGTCCTTAAAGAATATCTAATCCCAATCCACCCTTGCCATGGGCAGGGACCTCTGCCACTAGACCAGATTGCTCAAGGCTCTATCCAACCTGGTCTTGAATGCTGATGGAGATGGGGCATCCACAGCTTCCCTGGGAAACTCCTTCCAGTATCTCACCACCTTCAAAGTAAAATATTTTTCCTAATATATAGCTTACATTTCCCCTCTTTCAATTTGTATCTATTATTCCCTGTCCTATCACTAGAGCTCCTGACAAAAGGTCCCTCTCTGGCTTCCCTGTGGCCCCTTCAGGTACTGGAAGTTTCCTATGAGGTCTTCACACAACCTTCTCTTCTCCAGGATGAGCAATCACAACCTTCTCAGCCTGTCTTTGTAGGGAAAGTGCTCCAGTCTTCTCATCAATGTAGTGGTCTCCTCTGGACTTTCTCTAGCAGTTCCATGTCCTTCTTATGTTTGGGGCACCAGATCTGGTCCCACAAGGTACCATGGGATTTCCAACAAGGTCATGTTGGCTCCTCACCTGCCATCATCCCTTATTTCCATGACCATCTTGTTCTCCTGACCTGCTCAGGGCCATGCTCTCAGCATACCTGTCTGTGTGAGAGCATCTGCCTGCCTGTGCTGGGACCCTGCTGTGGGGCTGCCCAGACCCAGGCAGAGAGCAGCAGACTCTGGGTTCTGAGCCTTGAGCTGACTGCTCTGGTCTGCTTTCAATCCACAGATAAAGTGGAAACTGGGGAAACTACAGGGCTCACAGGACATCATCACCCTGGAGATAAAAGCGGCCAGTCTTTCTCCCAGAGGAGCACAAACATCCACGTTCTGAAAGGAGAGATTAAAGGGGAAAGGCTGTAGGGTGGGGGAGGAGACACTGGGTCAGGTAAAAGAGTTTTTGAAATTGCAGAGTGTGGTGAAGCCAGCACACTGCTCTGAACATTTCCCTGCCTCTGATTGTACCCAGAGACACCACAGCATGTCTGTGTCCCCCCAGCCAGTTTGCAATGAGCTTGCTCTTACAAACAATGCCACTGTTGAAACCCCTGGTACTTCATCCCATACTGTCTCTTCTGCCTCATCCTTTCCCCAGGCAGTCCAGTCTGGAGTGCAGGATGCTCTGCAAAACACACCAGCCCAGCATCTGCCTGAGCAGCACCAAGAAGTTCAAGCTTGTGTTGACATTCACAGAGAGAAAAACCAGAGCAGGGCCTGCTGACAGTCACACAGGCATGCCTGCTCCCTCTGCTGCTGAGCAAGCAGAGCAAGGCTGAGCCAGTAGAACTTCACACAGTTCTTCACAGCCACCAGGTCCTTAAGGGTGTAGTGCATCCATGCATTTCACTTATAGAAGTTATGCCCATAAGCCTTCCAAAAGATGATGCTAAATCCACAGGCAGACCATAGAATCACAGAATCATGGAACATTTTAGCTTGAAGGGGCCT